GGGGGGTGGGGGGGTGGGTTAAGTTACCTTACGATCATCATCATCATCATTCATGAACAGGTAAGGGTTTTGTGAGAGAAGATTTGGAGTGCAGTCATTATATGAAGAATTTTGATATTGGGCACATTCCATTGCGGCTGCCAAGAGCTAAGCAACTACTGGCAACCATTAATAAGAACTTCTCCACTCTAGCTTTCTGTAGACGTTATCTTGACCGTCTTGGCGAAACCAAATATCTCATGGCACTCAAGAATCTGTGTGATTCTGGCATTATCCAGGTATACTTATTGCCTTCACTTTTTTTTAAAAAAAATTGGAATATTGGACGCCAATGAGCTCAACTTTGGTGGTACTGAACAAAAGGTCAAAAGTATACCAACCTTTTTTTCTTACTGGACAGTGGTATTAGTAGTTTAGTACAAATGAAAGTTATCTCCCCAAGGAACAATAAAGCTACAAACCAGTTAAATATGACAAGTTTAATTATACCTGTACCAACAAAAATATCAGAATTAAAATTTGTGCATTGACAAAAACATGACTCTTTTTTTTGGGAAAGAGGGAATAAGTGATAAGGGAGGGCAAAAATGTCTCTATAACTACTAATTGCTGCACATTTTATGGTGGGTTTCATTCATCTTCCTGCTTGGATCTAATGCTGGAAATTGATCTGTCTTTTTCTTATTCTCTCTCTCGGCAGCCGTACCCTCCCCTATGTGATATTAAGAGCAGCTACGTATCTCAATTCGAGCACACCATTTTACTTCGTCCAACCTGCAAGGAGGTGATATCTAGGGGTGATGACTACTGATTTTTGGGATCCAATTATCACTTTCATTCCCTCTCTCTACTTTTTGTTTTTTTTTAATGATCAAGAGTTCGAACACCTAAATGCTTCTAAGCCAACTCGTGTTAAAACTGTACTCAGAATACGTTTTTCTCTATCACTGTAATCGATTCTATGATTTAGGATGCAATAATTTTTAAGGTAACCAATTAGGTCTTTTCTTAAGTAAGAGTAATTAATGAGTTTTTCATTTTGTTGCTTTTAACTGGTAGAGTACTATAGAGATCCCTATACTTTTATAAAATGTGCAATTTGTTTCTTCAATAAGATCATTGAGCTAGGTTTCCCATTCTAGCGCAATGTTGATGACATCCTTTATTTTTAACTCTTTCCATATCCAAACTAAATTTACACACGAATGATGATGTACTGATGTGTGACTGAAGTTATTCTCAAATCTATTTTTTTAAAATGTCGGAGTAAATTTTACCTGATGTTTGTAATATTTCTATCTCATTGTATTGTTCAGTCTGATTTTTTTAGTCAAACTGGATAATTTGTTGTCCTCAAATAAATAAATCTTGATGTATAGTATAAAGAAGCTTTCGTTAGATATATCTTGTTGAGTATTTTAAAGTTTTATTTTATGGTATTAATATGTGAAAAAAATTAAGAATAATTCATTCAGGTTGATTTGAAAAAGTTAAATTGGACGAATACATCAGACTAAAAGAGTATTTAAGAACTAGACTAAAAACTCAATGAGACAAGTTGTGACATTACTTTGAATTTAAGAAATAATTAATGACAATTTGTAAGTAAAAAAGTTAAAAAGATACAGAGTATAATTTGACTTGTGATTTGTGAATAGTAAAACATATTTGTTTTAATTTTTCATTTTTTTGACAATTCTAAAAACAAATTTTATAACACTATGCTCGGTTCAAGGAATTTGGAAGGAAAATAAAAAGATATGAGTTTTTCTCATTTTCTTCACCAAAATGAGAGGAATTTGGTTTTCATTTCTCTTAGTACATTTTACATTCTCTTTTTTTCTTCCACTTTTCATTTCTTTTCCTCTCTAACTAAACAAGAAAAAACTTGTTTTCCACCTCATTTTCTTTTCTTTTCCCTTTCAACCCCTTAGAACCAAACATAGTGTAAAGCTAATAAAACTAGAAAGGCAGAAGAATTAGTTGCGACATTAACATTATGTTGGGTTCAGGGAATTTGAGAGTGAAAGGAAAAGAAAATGAGAAAGAAAACATTTTTCCTGTTTGATTAGAGAGAAAAAGAAAGAAAAAATAGAAGAAATTAAGAAGACAAAATGCACTAGGAGGAAAGAAAAACATTTTCTTTTCTTTTCCTACCAAATCATGTGCAGCTCCCATTATCCTTCTTGGAGCCCGTTCCTTCAAATCCAAGAAAAACCGATTTCCAGTTTAAGTGAAAAAAAGGTTTAATTTTTGTTGTTGTTGTTGTTATTCAGAGAGTTTCTACCAAAATAAAATCTCATCCCTTTTATGGTAGAAACTAACGGAGTCTTATTGAACAAAATACCATTTGATTCATGTCTAATGCTGAAAAGTTGAAATTTTGAAAACATTCACAAAAATACTCGAGGATCAACTCTCCAATTACGTATATTTGAATGTTTGATACTTTGTATTGCTGCATGAGGATTTGGGATAAGAGCGCGGAACGGAGATGGCGGATAAGTTTTCCTCTGAGGCGGAGATGGGAGATGGGGAACTTTTGGCGTTGCCATCTGTAAGTCTTTTAGAGGGATAAACCTTCAAATGCCATAACATTTTTTTTTTTGCTTGTTTGTTTGGCTAAAGAAATAATAGACGCGTTTTATGGAACAAATCAAGGATCAACTCTCCAATTATGTTTAATGGAATATAAGACATCAACGAAAATTATTGTTGTTGGGAAATAATACAATCTACTCCGTATTCAACACTATGTCTGCTTATTATATTGTTTAAATAACGACTGGAAAATCATAGTACACCATTGTGGTACAGTAACACACACACACACACACACACACAAGTGAAAAAAAACCATAGCACCGTGCTTGCTACCTTTGATTCGAGTGGAAAACAATTGGAGTTTCAGAGGAATGAATAACATAGAAAGAGAGCCCCTTACATATCGTTGAAGATGCCAAACAGATCACCACTTATGTAATCATTATCCACCAAACTGACCAAGAAATATGTGCTTTCAACCTGCAAAATCGTTTCAAGACGAACTCATTATTGGTTATTCAATGATTTCAATCTAGTGCAATACGACACGATTCCCCCCAGGGAAATGAAATCATCTATATATATATATATATATATATATATATATATATATATATATATACCTACCTCGTCAAGCAATTTTCTGGATAGATCAGACTCGGGGTATAGGTGTCCCCAACACTTAGACCATGCTTCAAAAGCCTCCTCCTTCCATATCATAAAGCTGGCAGGATCGACAATTGTTGGTTGAACAATCTCCTTGGCTGGAAACACCCCCCATGTCACGGCATTCACGTCAGTCTGCTTCACATTAGAAATCCAAGTTCCTTCCTTATCCACTGCAATGTAGGTCAGAGAGGGAAAGCTTTTGCATTTCTCAACTAGAGCATTTAGCTTCTGCCTTGAGCAGAAAAACTCCAGATATGCTTTCTGGTATACGTAACCACCAGGGCCACCCCAACCTGCAAAAGTTAGCCGCTACTCAAAATGAATTGAGAAGAAAGACTGATCTCTATGGACCAACTTAGATATATCAAACACGTCCTTTGAATGAGTCTGTCATTGTTCATGTCAACAATGCTAATATGTTGCTGTCTAGAGAGTATCTTAGAGAATCCATGGCAATTTCTTCACTAAATATTCTAAAATACCACATTTTTAAGGTGGGTAAACTATCAAATACGTCCTTTAAATGAGTTTGTCATCGTTGTTGGTGTCAACAATGCTATTATGTTGTTGTCTGGCAAATATCTTAGATAATCCATATCATAATTCACAAACCTGGGATAGTGAACTACTAAATCCAGATGTATGAGTATTATACTATTTAAATTTATTTGTTGATTTTAATAAAATTTACATTTCACAAGGCACCATAAACTTAAGTTCACCGACCCCAATTAGTTGAGGCCATGATGCTTATGCTGATGGTTTTACTAATTTCATTATATTAACTCGTTGACACTTTTTAGGCATGAAATTTAGCATCATTGGATCATTCACGGGTCCCAAAATAATACGAGTAGTTGACATGTGATTTGTTTACCGAGGGAGTAACCCTTACCAACAGAAGGTGAATCAGACTTTGCTCCGTTAACTGCTGGTTGGCTGTTGATGGTAAGGAACCCTTTTTTATTAATATCGGCCAATTTTTCGTCTATAAATCTTGTCTCTGGCTGAAGCCCATCTAGTTCAGACCAAGGATTACTTCTGACTCTTCCGAGACAGTACTTGGAAAATAACTGGTGAATCGAAGTTCCATTTGAGTATCATATTTGAACATGAGGTAAACTAACCTGAAGTGTGAACTTAAGACAAATTCAAATCTAACGCATACCTCACAAATATCTTCAATGGTATTCAATGGGACAACCCATTCATCATGAAATCTCTTATCACGTGCACGTGGTCGCATGAACTGTAAGTAAGAAATCAATCCAGTGACACTCTTGAGCAAAGCACTTGAGAGTTGAGATGATGTATATGAAGTAAATATCATCACACATATTTAGAATCTTGGCTTCCTTGAGTATCGGACTTGAGACACAAACAGAAACTGAAAATACTTTTTTTCGGAGTAATAATATCAATCCAAGATTACATTTACTCACTTCTTTGCAATTTTTTGTCCAACCACTAATGCAATGGACATATCCAACTCTAAGGAATACTTAGCAAAACATGCAATTGAATGAAATATGGAGCGGCAGATAAGACACTAGACACCCATGTGTGCCCCTATGTAGAATATGCGAAGGTGGGAGAATAAAAGGTTAAAAAATTTGAAAATTACATAACCAAAAACAGACATAGGATTCACCCTTACCTGATAGTCAGAAAGCGCTCCATAGGATGGATTTCGGGAATCACCCCATCGGCCTTGTGGGTATTCATCCCAGCCTATGGTCCTTGAAATGTAGCTTTTTGGACGATTTGCCCTAATAATAATAACAATAATCATCATCATCATCATTATTATTGTTATTATTATTATTATTTTTATTATTATTATTATTATCATTATTATTATTATTAATTATTATTATTATTATTAGTAGTAGTAGTAGTAGTAGTAGTAGGAACTACCAAATAGTCCTATCATCATTGTAATAGTTTCTTATTAGCAACCATTGATATTATATTTCATTTAACATTCCTGAAAGTAGTATTGTACTCCGTATTACATTAGAGCTCTATTTATTACTCATAAGGACTATTATGAGTATTGTGAATATGGGCTTGTCTTTATCAAAAATAAATATCAATTATAGATACAATTGCAAGATATGAAAGTAAAGATGAAATCCACTAGCATACCAAAATATGGGTCTGACATCTTCCTTTGTACGAAAAACATTTGTGGGACGTCTCCAAGGTAACGATCTTGAAATACTGGACTCATCAATTAATCCAAGATTCTGCAGCAGAAGTCTAACATTAGCTCAATATTCACTTTGGCTAAATGAATTTTTTTCGTAGTCTACTGAAAAAAGACACGAGAAACACACCATCAATATTGCCAATGCAGATTTATCCATATTCAGTGTGTAAAGGTGTAATGTCTTAATTCCACTAGCAATAATCTTCTTGCACATCTCAGTTGCCAGGTGAATTCCATAAGCCTTTACAGCTTCTTCATTGTCCCTAATTGGTTCCAGAGCAGCCATAATCTCAGGGGGGATCTATAATACATCATCAAAAGAAGATTTTAAAAATCACAGCAATAAATGCCACCAACACTTGGAATTCTGGAACCCTAAAACATCAAGTATTAATTTAAGATTCCTATAATGCTGTCATTAGTACTTAAAGAGACCAGTCCAAAGACCTAGAGCTATAGAACCTTGTATGCTACATAATACACAGGCAGTGGAGCGCTAGTGGACGGCTACGACACTGGGGAGGTGGGAAAAACCTCCCATCAACTTTCTTAAGGTCAATGTAGATGCTTCGGTTGGGCACTTGGGCTAGTGGAGGGTCATGTTGGTTTAGGCCTTATTGCTCGTGATCATGAAGGCAGATTTGTAGCAGCGAAAAATATCAAATGTAGGGGAAGTTTTGGTCCGAGGGAAGCGTAATCCATTGCTGTTAAAGAGGCGTTGAGCTGGATTAAAGCCAAAAGATGGAGTCAAGTAATGGTGGAGTCTGATTGCAAGGAGATCATCGAGCAACTCAGGCCATCGTTTACCACCTACTCTTATTTTAACTCAATTGTTGATGATTGTAAGCGTCTCCGGGTTCTGTGGAGGAGACATTAGTTTTCATTTTGTTCATCGCTCCTTGAATGAGGCAGCACATATGTTGGCGCGAGCTACTCATTCTATGGAGAGCGTTATGGAGTGGGTTGTTTCAACCCCAAATTTTATTGTAGCTCTTCTTTAAACACAAAAATGTCATATTTGTTATGCAATCTAAAGATGGCCAAGATAAAAAGTTGGAAGGGTCCATAGAAAAAAAACTCAGGAATCTAGCCTTCTAAGTTCTAACTTCAGGAACACGCAATATGATACTTAATGCTTAAATAAACTATAACTTGGCAAAGACAGATATATCATACTTTGGTTTTGCAGAAGCCGGTCATACGGATAAAGCCATTGTAATTGTTAATGGGCATAATTCCAGGAACAATGGGACATGTTATTCCAATTTGACGACAATCATTCACAAATTTGAGGAAAGTGTCAGTGTCATAGAATAGTTGAGTAATTATGAGGTCTGCACCAGCATCAACCTGAACACAAGTGCAGCATTAGTACCGGATGATAAAGAAAGACAATTCAACATTTCCGCATGAATTCGTGAGGAATAAAAGTGTATCAATGAAACTAACAATAACAAAAGAACATATAACCTTTCTCTTGAGATAGGCAAGGTCATTCTGGTAGGCCTCAGGCGTAGCCACTCCACTAGCAGGTATAACATCAGGATGTGTCTCTACAATTCAAGCACAAAATGTGAGCAAATGATGTACTATAGTAAAACATCATATATGTTCTGAATCAATGCTGCTAGCGCGACGGAGTTGCAGATCATACCTGGATAACCGGCAACTGTGATCCCGAAATAATCTCCATACTTGTCCCGAATGTGCTTCACCTGCAAAAAAAAAAAAGACGAATTGGGAAAAACTATGAAAAACAGGGAATAGATAGCCCGAAACAGACAGATGTGTGTAATCATCAAATGGAGGTCCAATTCGTCAGAAACAGAGACTCACGAGGTCCAAGGCGCAGGAGAACCCACCCTCGACCTGGACGAACTTGTCCTGGCCGTGAGGAGGGTCGCCGCGGAGGGCGAGGACGTTCTGGATGCCGTTGGATTTGATGGTGTCGAGAGCGTGATCGATCTTCTCAACAGGCATATTGGTGCAGGTGAGATGCATCATGGTCTCGACGCAGACCATATTCTGCATCCGGCTGGCGATCTCGAGGGTGAGATCGGCGGTGGAGCCACCGGCGCCCCAGGTGATGTCGCAGAAGGTAGGGTTGTGGGCCACCATGCGCTCCATCCGCTCGAAGAGGTTCTCAACTCCGTCCTGCGTCTTAGGAGGGAAGAACTCGAAGGAGAAGACCACCTTGCCGCCATTGTTCTCCTCCTTGGACAGCTCCCTGATCTTCTCAATCACCTTCATCGCAGCTCGCTCTTAGATCTTCCGATCGACTGACTACAATGCGGCAGATTCCAAGGAATCGGCAATGGATTTGGGGAAATGCGATGCGGGGGAGAAGATGATATAAATGGGGAATGAGAGGAGGAGTTAGTTATATACTACTCCGTAATAGTCTTCTTATTCATTCTCTTCTTCAACCATTATTTGCTCAGATCTCTCTGTTTGTGTTTGGTGTGGGTACCCAACAACCGCGGCCTACATTGGTAATTTCACAGCCCTCGTGGTATAATAAAGCACCCACTTTACTCTTATCATATGTTTTTAAACCAATCTAAATAAAAGAGATTAGATAAAACCAATTTAAATATAGTTATATTTAAGATTATATCTGATCTAATTTGATTTTGTCTAATCTGTTTCCAATGATAATAAATAATAAGTAAAAAAATAAGTTGAGGAGAACATGACCTTAATATAACTCTCTCGGGTCTCCACCAACCAAAATCTTATAGATACTCCCTTTTGTCTCGAAATGTTCTTTTTGTACACTATTCCTACAGTCAAATTTTATTTATTTTTTTTATTATTTTTACTATTCATTTCATAATAAAATATATTCATATCATATCTTCTTTTGTAGAAATTATAATGTAGTTATATATAAATTTTAAATTTTACACGCACAATCAAATAAATTAAATTAAAAATAAATTAGTCAAACATCGTAACACGTAATGGGAGGAACATTTTCAAGCAAAAGGTGTGGTTGAGAAGGTATAGCGTATATCCAGATGTATGGTGTTTCTGATGCATATGATGAATACTCATTTAGGAGTTAAAAAATATTCATTTTCAATATATTATACGATGTATTTTTAATTGCGCCTCAAGTACTTAATTACAAGTAAAAGAATGCTCATTCTCACATAACATTTATTTTAGTTATACATGCGTTGCATACTCATTTTCGAATAATATAAGGCCATGTTTGGTACACGAAATTCAAAGTATGAAATTGGAATTGAGGACTTCAATTCCAATTCCGGTGTTTGGTAGCACAAAAATTATGTGGATTTGAAATTGATAGTGCAAAAAATGAATTGGAATTGACAGAATTACATTCTATGGAATTGAATCTCATGGAATTTTAATTCCAATTCAGTTCCAATTCTGTCAATTCCGTATACCAAACGGACCCTAATACTCATTTACGAGAAGTAAATACTTAAAAAAAATCAAAGTTATTGTCAGTTGTACCAAAAAGAGTGTAGCTGCCTACATAGTTTCATATGGAAGTGGTCCCCAAGTAGTTCGATATATTCGCTATTCACAAATCAAACACTACTCTTTTTCACATATTTCTGATTCTTATTCCGCAAAGTTTTTTTTATAGAGTTTAAAATGTTCTACTCCCTATTATACTATGTAATGTTTACACAGTATATTGTAATTTCGTATCAACTTTCAAAAAAAGTTAAATTAAAATCTATTTTAACCAAACATCTTAAACCCAACCAGCAACAAAGAAAGAAAAAAAAGAAGAAGAAGAATGACGATCCAAGAAAGTACAATTACAAGCAGCAGGCCAGCTTTCAACAAATAATAAATACTTGTAATACTAAACCACTGTGTAATAGTAGAAGAATGATGGGTTCCAATTAAATATATAGACTTTACAAGAACAAATACAACTAAATGTGTGTATGCCTTCAGCAACTATAAACCAGAAGAATAGCTAGCAACAAACATTTCTCATTATTCTTAGTGACCACCCACCCTCCCACCCCACCCCACATACCCAAAACATTATCTTCTCTCAATAGTTAACACAATGGTGCTGGGAAGTGGAAACACAACCTCACACTCGGAGAATGGTCGGTCTGCTGGGAATGCTTTGAGGGGAATTATGAAACCGCTTCAATGGCACTGCCGAGAGGCCAAGCCGCTTCGACAAGGTAACTTTTGTATTTCACTTTTTTGACCAATGTGATGTACTGATAAGGGTCTAGACCTGACATACAACACAAATACAAGTAATCATTTTAAGAATCAGAACCAAATCAAAGAGTAAATATAATGATCACAAAGTCACAACCCATCTTGAAAGGCGTAGGACCCTTTTACTTTTGGCGCTTGGTTGATTCAAAAGGGATGGGGTAAAATGGTTGTGGTTAAAAAATATAGTGTTTCATGTTTGGTTGAACTCAGTAAAACATATGTATATGAATATTCACTATAAGTATAAGCTTATAAAATATCGTAATCCCAAATTAGAATTATTTTTTTGTGCACATACACGTTTTACAATATTTTGAAAAAATTTGTAAAAATATTGCCTTTGATATGCAGTATAATTTCTATTGTAATAAAAAATAAACTATGTCCAGAGAAAGGAATGTTTCACCAAGCTAGACTTTTTCCCGGGACAACAATTTTCATCAAACATGAACCTTCATTTTTTGGGCAAAAGGTAAATAATTTAGAAGTGCAACAATAACAATGAAAATGCAGAGAAAGTCGGTTAAAAATGTAAATTGGGAGTGATGTGTGAGGAGATGGGAGGATTTTATAGCTTCTAAGTTGCAGAAAAAGAGTAAGAGGTGATTTTTATTATGAAAAGTAATAATTTTCCCAACCCACTCAAGTTGGGGGTGACATATGAAGAGGCTGGACTGCTGGAGGATCTTAGAAAATAGAAGTCTCTCACTTCTCTCCTCCTTCCCCCATTATTTCTCAACCAAACACATGTAAATCTTCACTCTTTTTCCTCCCAAAAAAATCCCTAAACTAAACAAGGGCTTCTTGAAAACTTACCGAATCCATCAACCAGCAAACTGAATTGATATGCAAGATCCATACACAAGTATGGCAAGTTTTCTTCACTGAAACGTGGAAATTTGGACTTGGCATCATCGAGTCCAGTTGCACAGGCACTTGAAGCTGCACTTTCAAAATCAATTGGGCGAACTTTTGCAACAGGCACATTTGGATCAACGATGATTCCAGCCTGTTGAATATCCGATATCGATTGTTTATTGGCTTCAAGTATGGTGAGTCTAGCATATAAGTACGAGGCAAATATTGCCTCTTAAGAAAATTTTCAAGATTGACTAAGTGAGTTAGAGTTGGACACAACTTAACATGGTATAAGAGCCTAGTTTGATAGTGAATTGTAGGGCACCACTCACCAATGGTTGGGTGGCCCGATTAGAGGCCGGTTTGGGTTAAGGGGGTGTGTTAATTATCCCACGTGTCTTTGTCAAGTATATAATGGTGAGATAAAACCATTTAGAGTGAGATAGGCCCAATTTGACACGACCCTTATTTAAAGCTTATGCAATCAGCATTATGTAAAGCATTTGTCCAACTTTAGGAACAAAGGACGTCACTAGAACAAGAAAAGGTTCCAGAACAAGTATATACCTCAGCAGCTCTGTCAAAGAAAAATGAAGCAACATAAAGATTTTTCTGACCATCACCGCCACCGCCATTCCACACACCTGAGAATGTGCATTTCATATGCGTGCATGCTGAACCATTGACTTTAAGAGCTTTAATGACAGACTCTCTACAGCTCTTCATGTTTGAACCATCTGGCAAAGGTGATGCTGGATAAAATGCTCCTCCATATTTATATGAACCTTGAAAACAATTTATAACTATCATCAATATCCATTATAAAAAGGTGTAAGATACAATTGGAAATGCTTGAATATTTCTTCTTTTCCACACTTGGTAAAAGAAAACCAGATACTTAGCAAAAATGAGTGAAAGCTGCTATAGCACACTGCACAGTTTGCGGTTAATGTAAGCAATTAACTAGATCCTAGAAAGTTCCATGACAGAAAATCCAACAACTAGCACAACGATTTGTAGTCGATAATACCGGAGAACCAAATACAAATTTCAGTTTAGCTCTCTGATAAAGATTGTCATATTCAAATGACATTTTTGTAATACTCCATGTAATTTTTCCATCAACTTTTGGTAACTGCTTAGTACTAATGACATTAAAATGAGGATTTCCACTGCTCATGAAAAATGCAAAACACGCATTGCAATAGCAGCATGTGTAACAACATTTAGGTTCAAATTTTAGCATGCAGAAACATAATATTGCACATCGATATGCAAATAATGGCTACCATGATATCCTGTCAAGATGCAAGGATTGCCAGATTTTCCGGTGACCTTCAAAATCTCAGCCCTCGCTGCAAGCAAACCATAGTGCAAATAACTGTAAAAAAAATAGATATCAGAGTTAATTATAGAAATTAAGAAATTTTGAACTTCTTAGGGTAAGAAGTTCGCCATTAAATAATAAATACGGAGTACATGAAGTCATAAAAGGAAATGAGACAGACCTGTGGACATAAAGGTAATATTTTCTACCCTTAAGATACATTTCCCGCACATATGTATCCTCTCCTTTTGATGGCTTTGGTGCCTTTTGAGCATCTGACTCTGAGATAGCATAGGCCATTTGTACAGATCCTCCTCCCAAATCAACGACTCCAATTGTGTCAGAGTACTTTTTACCCAACTTTCCTAATAGATAATTGATTGTGACCTGCACAGATAGATGAGAAAATTCGCATGCAAACGAGAATGTAAAGCTACGAGTCTCCAACTTATGATACAAAAAGTGTATATCTAAATATCTATGTCAAAGTGAAAAAATGTATATAAAGAAATTGCCCCAGCTAACAAACTAATGACAAGAAAATAGCAATGACCGTTAGACGCAGAAAATGGACCATAGTATTTCATCCCTGGAAATAAAAAGAGCATGATATTCTGTTTATACCCATAAACAATAGTCTGTGGGTGAATGTAAAATATACGGAGTATTTAAATTACAGAAATCTCCTCAGTCCTCACAGTAGGAATTTCTATCAGCTGTTCTAAGATCCTATTTGTTATCATTTTTTTTCTCAGAAATCTCATTTGAAGTTGTGACCTCTGAGAAAAAGAAAATGAATCTTGGGATCAAAATGACATTTCACCAGTACTGCTAGTTTTACTCTGCAAGACTGCATTTTGAGCATATTTAAATTGGAACACTTACAATATCCCAAATTTGGGAAGCAGAATAAATATTAAATCCAATCAGCAAGGTAGGATTTTTTTTCCTTCAAAATTCCATTTAAAGCACCCAAAAGCATGTGCACAAGGATGTAATGTTATTAACATACCCACTGATAAGCACCTTCCTGATTTCCATCCAAAACAGACACCGAATCTGTTGTTGAGCTGAAACTGCTTTTCTTCTTTAGATAGTCCCTCACCTTCACCATGACACGAACTATATTTATTTATGAGTTCATCAATTCTTTAAACTTCAGGAAACCCCAAGAATAGAGGTAATAAATCCTTTTTTTCTCTCTTTCAAAGGTATGTTCCACCAAGGAAAAAAAGGACCTAAATTGGAATGCAAAAAAACTCAAGTTTACCGCTTGCAGGATCTTTTCAGGTGCATTGCCTTCCAACTGCCTCAAACCAGCAGTTGCCTGTGTAACACATCCATAGCCAGCTTCAAATACTATTGTTGGCAAGAAGATCGCATTTTAAAACAAAAAATGAAAAGCCTCACTAATTTACTAAGAGATAGAATTAAAACCACTAACCCCAACTCTAACTGGTGTGAAGGGCTGAACTTCGCGAGGCACTGCAGATTTGGCCTTCTCGAGAAGTGATGCGAGTGACTTTGCAGCAGCTTTAGGGTCCTTGGGGTAAGCACTCAAACCCGGTTTTAACTATTGGTATCGAAACCAAAAAGAGACAGAGAGTCAAGAGCGCAGAGATATGGAGTACAAGGAGAAAACTAAAACTAGTAACTACTGCAAATGATACAATGCACCCCCATGCCTGAGCAATTGAACAATCACATACTAACATGAATCAATTGATAATTCAGTGCCTAAGCATTGGCGCCAATTAAGTTACCTGTTCAAAAAGCTCGAGGTCATTGCCGATGGGAACCAGATCGAGATTCTTATCGAAACAGAAGACATGGACCCTGCTACCAGAGCTTCCGGCGTCGAAGATGACGGCGTATTTTTTAGATCCAAAGTCGGGAGAGAACTTACGATTAAGGGACCCCAGGGAAACATCGGGGGATCGGGAGGGCATGACGAAGAGGACGAAAGTAATGAGCAACAGAGGGACAGAGATGACAAGGAGGACTCCGCGGTACCTCTGGATGACGTCGGGTAAGGAATCGTGCTGCTGGCCGCGGTTGCGCTTGAGCGACTTCTCCATTTGATCGGGCGGAGGAAGCGGCGGCGACGGGGAGGAATGCTGCACGTCCAAGAGCTCAGCGGCCGATGGCGACCGATATCGGATCTGACCGTTTCCCGGCGGCTTCAGGGGCTCCTGAACCGTCTCCAGTGCTTCTGATTGACTCTGCGGCGGAGATTGGAGTGGCAGATCACCTCCGATCAAGCCCGAATATCATGCAGCCCGACCCGAATCGCAATGCCGCCGTGAGTTTGAGTGCATTCGGGTGAATACGACGGGGCACGGGAACCGAATGCGACTTATCATCGTCCCCCATTCATTGGTTCAGTTCTACTGCTGCAGTCAGTGATCCGACTATACGACCAATTTGGTAGGACCGTTAGGAAGGAGCAAACATAAGTAAATTAGACTTTGGCCATCAAAGTTGCAATTAGTTGTTTTAACATTTAAAAAAGAAAAATATATATATGCATGATATATATATATATATATATTAGAAATCACTTTAAATAGTACCAAAACATAGAAAAAAGTACTAAAATAAAAATTTTATATTTTTTCCCAAAATAAGACTTCACACTGTGGTAATGTGTTTGTAATTGTGGTAATGTGTTTGTAATATGGCACTGTACATGTGCATATTACTATGCTTTTAGGTAACGTACATGATCATGTTTGGTAATGTAAATACATTTTAAATCCTATTTCGAGAATAAAAATATGGAAGTCTTATTTTAGTATATTTTTAATATTCTAGTCCTATTTTAATATTTATCCTATATATATATATATATATATATATATATATATATATATATATATGAGTAGCAATAAAATCAAATTTTCTCATCGAAGTAAGTCTAAGATTTCTGTTTTGAATACATGTAGATAGTAAATAGTTTCACTAACATATATTAATTTAGCTAAATTTTTTTCAAAAAGTACTTTGTATTAATTTAGAAAATCTCTAAATAAACTTGTAATGATAATGTAGGTATTGGATTAAGCTTCTAGTAATATTTCTTTTAAATTAACATTTTAATTTAATAAATTATTTTGAATATAGACGATAAGTTAATCTTGTACGAAGTATTTAATAATTTAAAATATGAATTAATAAACCAAATGAATTTTAAAGAGACTAAAAACAAAATTATAAATTTTAAAGGGATCAAAACATATACTCTATATTAAAATTTGAGGAGGATTATTTGAAAAAATAATAGTTTTATAGTGATGATTTGATAAAAAAATCAGGACCAAAAATTAAACTAGTTAATTTACCAGGACAAGAAATATATTTAACCCTTTCTTATTTATTTTATTATCTTATTCTTTAATTTTAAGTTTTTCCTATTTATCATGATATATATCTTCTCATTTAATTTATTTTCAAATTTTTTATTTTAATTTTCAGTTTTATTTTTTAGTTTTTTACATATGTTAAAATTTAAATATAAAGAAAAATGATAAAAAAAAATTAATTTCTCTTAACAACCAAGCTTAAAAGTTACTTTCCTTGATTTTGATTTTTCGGACCAAGCAACCAGGTGGAAAAGCAATTTGCCAAATAATGATTTTGTTTGTTTAATTAGTCAAAACACCCTAATCCAATTAAAGAAATCAAAAGTCAATTGAAAAGTCATTCTCCAAAGAGTAAACTCCATAAATAGTTCTTAATTACATGTAGTTTTTCATATTTAGTACCCAATCCTACATCATTACATAAATAGTCCACAATTTTTTAAACTATTCCATAATTGGTGCTTCAGGGACTATATATGGAAATTGTAATAACAATAGAGCAAAAACTAGCTTGTTTTAATTACGTATAATAAGAGTTAAACTCCTATTTTAGGGACAAAAAAAATGTCAAGAAATTGTTCTAATAGGAGCACACTGTTACTTGGCCATTGTGTCAATAACATAAGGAGTATTAGAAAAAGAGATCAATGACCAAAACTTTTTTCCCCTAAAATGACAATGTTTCGAATCATTTTTTTATTTAACTGAAATGAAAATAATTCGAATCATGAAAGTAGAAAACATTCTTATACACATTCACAGACAGAAAATAGTATGGTGTCTATGAATGTTTGTGAGAGGTTGGGATCAGATTTGGGGTGCCCCTAGCATGATTCGTACAAAAAAAATTCAGCACAAGGAGACCATAATCAATATGTTATCGCTGACTTGTGACAAAAATTTCACCTAGAAACGATGAGGCACATCGCATGAGAAGCACCGATAGATACTGAAAGAACATGATGGTTCTCCAAAGCGTCATCGTCCACGAGAAAATTAACTTCAACAGGAGATGGTTGGATCTCTGGCAGGCCAGGAACCCCAAGCTGACAATCTCTTGCATTTCCCCACATGTACAATCTCCCTTTCTCTGCAAGCCAAAGACACCCAAAGGAAATTGAAACCCCTTGTGAGATGTTTTAAATTTTGATGTCATTAAAGGTATTTTAAAGATGACTTTCTGCCAAAGACCTTGTGGTCTAGCGGCATCAGTGCGGCTCTCCTAAATGCGAGGTCACATGTCCAAACCTGAGTGGGGGCGATAACTTTTTGATCTTCAATACAACAACCCAGTTGAATCCCACAAAAGTAGGGTGTGGGGAGGGAGTTTGTATACGAACCTTACCCCTACTTGAAAGTAGAGAGGCTACAATAGGTTGAGAAAAGTAGGGTCTGAGCTTCAATATGTTGAGAATAAAAGTATTAGCAGAAACTACATTGTCACAAAGTTATTAGTGATTAAAAAAAGATGACTTTCTAGCAGCGTCAACGGGGAATGGACATCAGGAACAATAGGTTGAGAATAACAGTACTAACAGAAACTACATTGACACAAAGTTATTTGTGATAAAAAAAGATGACTTTCTAGCAGTGTCAACAGGGAATGGACATCAAGAATAATGCGTGGCAAAATGTGGTTTGTCCTTCTCCTCTAGTAGTCTCAAAACACATACTTAAGATCCTTCAAGGCTTCAACTTCTAATTGGGGCTATTGAACAAGTCACGGGCAAACGCAAGGAGCCATAGGTTATTTTATATCTTCATCTATTTTTTCGTTAGCACATTACATTGCAAGCCATTTGTTCATATTGTATGTATTCCACGTCATAACTAGAATCCAATTATACCAAACCCCTACAAATAATTGCTTTGTTGTGAGCGTTGCTAAGATTTTGATGATGAAAGAAGGGAGGATACATGTGCAATATCCAAATTGTTCACAATGTCACACTCTAAAGACAAGTTAGACTGAGATTCAAAAAATGGGCGACTGCCCATTAGGTCTTATTATAGGTTGAGGGACTCCAGGGCAAACAAAGTCCAAGGATTTAAAATGGGGTTTGCCTTGTGAATGAGTTTGTATATTAATGCAATTGCATTGTGGCACTCAAGCAAACATGCATATCTACATTCACATAATTAAATTTATTACCTGTTACGGCTGCTGATGAAGAACCGCCACAAGATATAAAGGTTACCTTCTCATCGGCCAATGCCTCGATTCTGGCAGGGACTTTCTCATTATGCAGAGAAGAATGACCCAATTGACCATGACCACCATAACCCCATGAAAACACTTCACCCTTATCTACAAGTGTGAATGCCACAAATAGACTGAATATATGTAATATGTATGTATATATAATCCTTCACCATACAAAAATGGATGCATACAATTGACAGCAAAAGCCATGCCAGAATGCTAATAAGGAACGTTCAATCCACCATTACCAGTCAATGCAAGAGAGTGATATCCACCACTAGCAATTTGAACTATACGAACATCCTCGAGACTATGATTTAGTTGTGGTTTCCAACCACTTCCCTTCTCCCCTCTTCCAAGCTCATAGTTGGAGTTAGCTGCCAAAAGCAAGTTATTTATTAAATTACTACTCCGTATAAAGGTGGCTTATGAGTATCAATAATTGAAAAACAAAATCACTTTATATTCAGCTGACTTCCTAAAGCATTAACTGTTATAATTTACATTTTCATGCATGTCACCAAAGTCAATGCAGCATTTAGACATCTCATTTTGGAATTATGATACTACAGGTGCATCAATACCGTACAACTATTCCTTAAACTACACACACACACACACACACATATATATAACATGTATGTATAGTATCTCAATAAAATCTAATATGTGTGTGTATCAAGGTGTTTACTAAACCCTCCATCTACATTGACCCCTAAAAAATGGATCAACACGTATATAAGTACATGCAGTGGTAATTGGTATTACGATAGAAAGTAAAAATATGAAAGAAAAAATGGGAGAGTTAAATATAAAATATGTCCTTATCGAATGACCCTAGCAGGAAACCCATCTATTGATAGGGAAAAGCAATGCAAATACACAGGCTTCTTAAAGAAGCACTGGAATGAAGAAGGAAACAAAACATGGCGAGCTGTAATTTACCTCCCCAGTTCCAGAGTTGACCATCTTCAGTCAGTGCCACTGTGAAGAATCCGCCACACGAAACAGCAGCTACTCTCACAGGAAGTGATTCTACTTTTGACGGGATGCTTAGACCACCAGCTTCATTTGGCCCTCGGTGAGGACCAAACCCCAATCGTCCATCCCCTTCATCTCGACCCCATACATAGAGCTCACCTGCTTAGTTTGGGTAAAAGCATCAAAATATAGTCAGTGAAATAAAATACCAAAGAAATATGGTGCGAATATCACTTCTGTATATCAAACTACTCAATGGCTTGTTTGATGAGCGAAAGTGCGATATAAAAACCACTTTGGATTGATCATTGATATCTCCCAATTTCGAGAGATATCAAACATCCTCTTTTGGTTGTTAAGATGTTGGGAGATATCAACACTCGACCCATTTATTGTCCTATTTCGGGATAGTACGAAAATACTTCTACACAGGTCCTCAGCTTGTATGGGAGGGGAGCATCAATTCCTTACTCCATCCATAGAGTATATAATACTTAATAAACTTCTTTTACATAGAATCATACAAATTAACCTTCCTAACCGGATTGGAACTGAGATTTGAAGTTATATTGCCGAGTATAGTTTATGACCTACAGGCATTCTGTGGAGAGTCGGAGATGAACAAGAACGCAACGAAATAACAGAATGAAATTTTATTAAGCACAGCCCAAAAATTACATTTCTAAAGGGGGAAAAATCTATTTATAAAAGAATGGAGAAAACAGAAAATGCGTAACTGTCTAACCAACTTCTAACAAACTGAAAAAATACTTTCCAAAATATATTGGGAAACATTAAGTATCTCTACATCCCCCCCTCACGTTGGAGCTGATCGAAGGCCCAACTGAAAAGATAAAGTTGCATGTTGTGTAGCGTTCAAAGGTTTAGTCATAATGTCTGCAAGCTGATGTTGTGAAGGAACATAGGCAGTTTGAAGGAAACCTTCCTGAACCTTGTCTCGTGTGATGTGACAATCTATAACAAAATGTTTTGTACGCTCGTGATAGCATGGGTTAGCTGCGATTTGTTGGGCTGCCTTATTGTCACAAAACATGGTGATTGGTAAAGGAACTGTAATGTGAAGATCATGGAGTAGATAACTCATCCACAGAAGCTCACAAGTAGTGGCTGCCATACTGCGATATTCTGCTTCAGTCGAGGACCTAGAAACAGTCTGTTGTTTCTTAGTTTTCCAAGAAACTAAGGCATGTCCTAGAAAGATACAATAGCCAGTAAGGGATCTTCGTGTCATAAGGCAGGAACCCCAATCAGCATCAGAAAATCCTGTCAATGGTATCTTCTGTTGAACAGGGTAGAACAACCCATGATTTATGGTTCCTTTAAGATATCGAAGGACATGATTGGCTGCTTGCAAATGATGTGTAGTGGGTGTGGAAAGGAATTGACTGAGGTGTTGAACTGCATATGAAATATCTGGCCTTGTAAGTCCTAGGTATAAAAGGCGTCCAACGAGGCGTCTGTAAGGACCAGGGTCATTAAGTATCTCTCCAGAGTGTAGGGAAAGCTTGAGATTCTGTTGTAGAGGAAAAAAGGTAGGTTTAGCACCTGTCAGGCCAGCATCAGTCAAAATGTCCAAGATATATTTGCGTTGGGAAAGATGGATGCCTTCATTGGTTTGAAGAATTTCCATTCCCAGAAAGTATTTGGCAATCCCTAAATCCTTGATTGTGAACTTGTCATGGAGGGCTGCTTTGGTTGCTGAAATCTCAGAGGGAGATGTGCCTGTAAGCAACATATCATCTACATATAATAGTATAACTGTAAAGTGAGGAGAACTCTCCTTTACGAACATGGAATAGTCTTGTTTGGATTGAACATATCCAAGACTGACAAGAAATTGACTGACTTCCAAATTCCATTGACGAGAGGCCTGCTTAAGGCCATACAATGATTTCTGAAGTTGGCAGACCTGTCCAGGAGATGCTTTTGTGTAACCCTCTGGAGGCAACATGTAAATATCCTCATCAATATAACCATGCAAGAATGCATTATTCACGTCTAACTGATATAAGGGCCATTGAAATGCAGCAGCTAAGGCAAGTATCACTCTCACAGTGGGCTGTTTAACAACGGGTGAGAAGGTGTGTTTATAGTCCTTGCGAAGTTTTTGATTATAGCCCTTGACAACCAACCTAGCTTTGTACCTTTCAACAGTGCCATCAGGGTTATATTTAACTTTGTACACCCATTTGGAGCCAATAGCCTTTTGGCCCTTGGGAAGAGAAGTTAATATCCATGTACAATTAGTTTCAAGTGCATCAAGCTCTTTAGCCATGGCATTGACCCATTTTGAGTCCTGCTTAGCTTGAGCATAAGTGTGAGGTGTGTGAACAGTTGATACATTTGCCAGAAAATTGGTGAAACCAGGGGGTAAACTAGGAGAGGTTCCAGCAAGAGAGAGAGGATGAGCTGTGGAACAGTGAGAGAGAGATGTGGACTTTATGGTGGGACAAATATAGTCAGACAATTTGGCAGGGGGTTTGGAAATTCTCTTTGGTTTTGGGACTGAGGATGGAATGGGGTTTTGAGTGGTGGCATGAATGTCAGGAATAGATGAGTCTGGAAGAGTGGAGACACCATCAGTAGGAAGAGTATCTGAGGAAGAGTTAATTTGTGGAGGAGATGACAAAGGAAAATCAGAAAGGGCATCATCATCTGTGACATTGAAGTTACTAGGGTAAAAATACTCAGGTGTTGCTTCTGGACTTGAAGGAGTGGACTTGTAAGGGAGGATGTGTTCATGAAAGATCACATCTCTGCTTAAGAAAGTGGTTTTGGTATGGAGATCAAACAACTTATAACCTTTCTGGGCAGTGGGATAACCCAAGAGAATGCACTTTCTGCCTCTGGGCTCAAATTTGTCAGTGGATATTGGGTTTTTCTTAGCATAACACAAGCATCCAATGGTTCTTAAGTTGTCATAAGACGGTGGAGTTCCAAAAAGAGACTCATATGGGGTTTTCCAAGATAGTTTGGCCATAGGCATTTTATTGATAAGATATGTGGCTGCAAGGATGCAATCTCCCCAAAAAATGGTTGGGAGATTGGCATGAATTTTGAGAGCTCTGGCAGTATCCAGGAGATGCCTGTGTTTTCTCTCTACTACTCCATTTTGTTGGGGAGTATATGTCATACTTTTCTGGTGAACTATGCCTAAGGATGAAAATATCCTTTGACATTCAGATTTGATGATTTCAGTCCCATTATCACTCCTCACAAACTTGGGTTGGGTACTATGGTGGTTTTGGACATATTGAAGAAATGTTTGGAGTACAGAACACACTTGATCTTTAGTGTGCAAGAGATAAGTCCAAGTTGCCCTTGTCTTATCATCAACAATGGTTAAGAAAAGTTTTGCCCCATTTAAGGACGGTGTCCTATAAGGTCCCCACAAGTCCACATGAATTAATGAAAAAGGTGAGAAAGATTCTGTACTACTACATTTGGGGAAAGGAAGTCTGTGCATTTTTGCCATTGAACATGCATCACATACAAACTCACTTTTGGAAAATGAAGTACAATCAACAAGATGACAAAGTTTAGACAAAGAGGTGTGTCCAAGTCTTTCATGAAGTCTATACAAGGACTCTTTATTCGAAAGTTTAACTACTGAAGAAACACAAGCTGGATTGGAAATATGAAGTATTGAAGTATGAGAAGATATGTCATCCTTGGCAGCACAAGGAAAGGATGCCTTCAGAAGGTAGAGACCCTTGTGTCCTGTTCCAGAAGCCATGGCCCTTTTAGTTGTAAGGTCCTGGAACATGAATGAGTTATGTGAGAAAAGAGCTGTCCAAGACTTATTGGAGAGAACTTTGCCAACAGAAAGCAGATTGAACTTAAAGTCTGGGACATACAGGACATTATGTAGAGTTAGATGATGATTGATGACTATTTGGCCAGTTTTTGTGACATTTCTGGTGGTACCATCAGGAAGGGTAACAGAAATGGGTTTGGCCAGTGGGACAATGTTAAGGAAATTGGCTAGATATGGTGACATGTGATCGGAGGCTCCTGTATCAACTATCATACACGTTGATACTCAAACTACTCAGAACAAAAGAGGGATCAAGTACCATACCTGCAGAGTTGGCAGAAACCATGTTCATGTTATTAAGTTCTCCAGCCTTTCCTTTGAACATCTTTACCACCTCATTGCATATAGCTGAAACCAACTCTTGGTCCACTCCCATCTTGTTGTGGCAGTGGAGTGTCCCATTCTGAATCTTCTATCCTCTCATGGAGATTGGCATGGGCAGCTACCCTCTGATTTCCTGTATTCTTATATTTCTTCCCCTTGTACCAGTCAGGATATCCTACCCTCTCAAAGCATTGTTCATAAAGATGTCCCTCACTTTTGCAATATTTGCAAAATTTCCTATCTGTAGGTTTGTTCCTTCTGTCCTCCTTCTGTCTTTGTGTTGTGATGATCTCCCAAGTTCATTGTTCACAAAGAAGGCTCCAGACTCTGGAATGCTACGGGTGATATTTTTCTGTGCCTCAATACGCTGGATTATATAGAATGCTTTGCTTAAGGAAGGCAGAGGTTCTGTCCCCAGTATCTGTCCTCGTGCTGCATCATATTCATCATTCAATCTCATCAAGAACTCCATCAGTTTGTTTCTGTTGTCAATTTCTATCCATTTCTCCATGAAGGCACAGGTACATTCCTTCATCTTACCACACTCACATGTAGGAAAACTGCTTAATTCTTGAAGCGTTTCCCAATGTTTCTTAAGTTTTGTGTAGTAAGCAGAGATAGTCATGCTTCCTTGATGTATTCCACTTAATTCCTTCTGTATTTGATAAATCAAGGGAGCATTTGTATGTCCATATCTTTCATTCAATTCTAACCACAGTTCCTTTGCAGAATTTACGTACAGAAATGAATCAGACAATTCAGATGTTATATCTCCACATTTTCCGACGCGGAAGCTCTGATACCATGTGGAGAGTCGGAGATGAACAAGAACGCAACGAAATAACAGAATGAAATTTTATTAAGCACAGCCCAAAAATTACATTTCTAAAGGGGGAAAAATCTATTTATAAAGGAATGGAGAAAACAGAAAATGCGTAACTGTCTAACCAACTTCTAACAAACTGAAAAAATACTTTCCAAAATATATTGGGAAACATTAAGTATCTCTACACATTCTTAGTTTCTTTCCACTAAAAGAATTGCTATTCCTTCATTCTATTCATGCAGTTATTTTTCATTCTTTCCCAGCTAGAGTGGTAAAATGTAATACCAGTAAATGATCAAGCTCCTGACCAGATTTTGTGATAGCAGCTGTGTGTGTTCCACTGGTGGCAATGTGACTTATTTCTCCATCCCAAGAAGCCTCCACTAATCTAGGCACAAGCTCTCTTGTATACACGGAATGTCCGAGAGCCCCAAAACCGCCATACCCCCTGAAAACATGGAAACACAAAAGATTCCAAATTGCAGCTTACAGAAATTCACTCCTTATTTGGGGAGGAAATACTAGAATGGCGTTTGAATCAGAACAGACCAAGTGAAGACCTGGCCAAGGACGTTTAGGGAGACGGAATGCAGACCTCCCAGGGCGACGCTCCCGAGAGACCCCAAATTAGGGTTTAATGTTGGAACGAAGATGGAGTTCTCGTGTCCAAATCCGAGTCTTCCGCCATCTCCTTTGCCCCATATCCAGAGATTCCCATCAACGATCAGTGAGGAATGGAACATCCCGCAAGAAATTCCAACTTCTACGGGAGCTATCGAAGCATTATCTGGAGGGGCCGGGAGCGGGTTAGAGGAATGAAGGCGGCCCGGAACCGGAGAAGATAACTGGAAAGTGGGGGGGAGTGATAAGGTGGCAACGGGGGCAGGGCATATTCGGATTTCTTCAATGCCGCCGCCGAGCTGGCCTGAGGCGCCGCGACCCCAGGAGAATACCTGTACAGTGACGAGTTCCTCGGATTCAATTCCGTCGGGCTTCCAGAGTATGGGGGCCTTAGATGAGCGAGAGATAGAAGGAGCCGAAGAGAGACGGCGCCGCCAATGCAACGCCGCCGGGAAAGGACGAGTGGTATAACGACGGAATGCCATCACCACATGGCTCAGCGAGGAAGTAGTTCAAGTGGCCGCCTGGACGATGACGGGATTAGCTCACCAGGTTCGTTTACCAACTGGAGGCGTTTAGGCACTCCGTAAAAATAGATTTAAAATCTCAGAAAAAAATAAATCAGAAAATACTAAATCGAAAAATTACCTCCAAAATATGGAATCTCAGTGAACCGAGTGTTCGGTTTGGTATTTGGAAACGGTACGAAATAATTTCTCATACTGAAAATTGCGAACTGAATATATATATTAATACTCCATCCGTCCTGAAATGTAAGCTTAGCTTCGTTTACTATTCCAAACTCTCGATAACTTTTGTTTGTTTACTCATATTGGTTGACCACTTGATAAAATAACATATTCTTGTCGCATTTTGTTTTATAGAATTTTTCATTTGCTTTTGAACAGTGTAATTTTTACTTTTTATATCTCTACAAATTTATAATTAAAATGATTTTAAAAGAGATGATATTTTGTCTACTTTTTGATATGTTGCTTAGAATTTGGAACGGAGGAGAAAGTATATTATAAATATAATAATATTTTTATATTTTCATTAAATAATGAGTTTATTTCTAAAATTTGGCTCAAATTTTATTATGTGTACATCATACTTTTATTTGAGTTTTAATTTTTTGTAGAAGAATATAAAAATATTAACACACATCTGAAATACGGAGTATCATTTTGCTATCATCTATTCATTGTTGTTTGTGAGATATAAACGAAATTTCATACTCTCTCTGTCCGGATTTCAAGTTCCCATTCTATGCTTTTCTCCGTCCGGAAATAAAGTTCCCATTATACGTTTTCATATCCAATCTTCCTAAAATACCCTTCTATCTCCCTTTCCCGTCCTTGTTTTACTTTTTCTTTCTCGGCAATGTCTTCTCCGCTTCTCCGCCAGGTACTCTTTCTTCTCTTTCCCTCCCCCTTCCTTTTCTTCTCCACGTTAACTTCCTCCCCCCCTTTCCTTCATCCTCCTCCTTCTTCTTCTTCTTCTTCTTCTTGACTTCTTCCTTTTCCTTTTCTTTTCTCAGTTAGATCTAGCTCTCTTCTGCCAGAGTTTGGATCTCCGATCCCCCCTCTCTCTTCCCCCCTTCTTTTTCTTTTTTTTTTCAGTTTCTTCTTCTACCAAAGTTTGGATCTCGTTTGTTTTTTCCAGATCTAAAATATCTGGAGATCTATTGTGCTGCAAGAGATTCGAATTGGGTCTGGTTTGCTCAGTAGAGAAAGAGAGAGATCTGTCGAATTGGTGCGGCAAAGAGTTCCGTTGCTTGGGGTTTGTTGGTGTGGCCATCGATTAGTTGTTGCGGCGGCCATTGTTACTACAACAGATTTGGCTTTAGGGGTGTGGCGTATCTGGTAAATGAAGCCTAGGGGTATTTTGGACAAATTTTAGACAAAGTCAACTTCCCATAAAAATGACCAAAAGTCAAAATGGGAACTTGAATTCCGGACGGAGGGAGTAATTATTTCTTGCATTTAATTTTTTTATTTTTTATTTAAATATACTTTTGATTTTTTAAAAAATAAATATTTTTTTGAGATTTTAAAGTTTAAACTAGTTGTGTATGCATTCAACCCGATTTATCTTAAAATCAATACTGAACCATCCCGAACGATACCAAACCAAAATTTTGGAACTAGCATCAGTACGACGTAAAATCACATACTGAACCGAAGTATTTGGTGCGGTATCGGTGCGGGCTAAATACCGTACCATGTACACCCTAACTAGAAGAGATATATAAAGAAACTAGAGTTGAAAAAACCAAAATTAATTGGAAAAAAAACAAGAAAGTGTTGGGAGAAACTAAATAAGTTGAATAAAACTAAACAAGTACTACGTAATACATATGACACATGAGGCAATAATTAAAGTAAAGAAAATAAAATACTCATGAAAAAAGAATAAATTTTATGTCAAACAAATTTAAAATAAGTAAAACATAATATTTCAAGAGTAAAAAATAGTCCCACCATTGCAAAATTATTTACATCACTCAAACGGCAATTTATTTTATTTACACATTAGTACGTATAGAACTCTAAAATACAACTTACATAATTATACATTACATCAAAAGTTTCACAAAACAAGGTGTAACAAAAATATTACTCCGTATTAGATCTTAAAGAATTTCGATCAAAACTGATGAGAGATCATTTGTCGGTAGTCATTACGAGCCCACTATGAGAGCCCATTTTTAATTGGCTGATGTATTTGGCGTTGACGATTTCCTAAATTTCTTACTGGACTGGACCGGTCTGAGTAATGGACTGACTAAGTAAGTAGTCCAATTAGTATGCTAATAGCATTGGGGCGAGCAGCGAATAGTAAATATGCTCGCACAAGCCCAATTACTCCGGCCTTAATGTGTCACAAAAATCATAATAAAAAATTGATTATAAAGAGTGAGAGTAATATTTTGGTGCATATGATTGTAAGAAGATGTGATCATCAATGCCAAACTACAGATTAGGCAGAGGTTAGAGAATGATTGCAAACAATACTAAGCATAGGACCTCTGTAAATACCATGTACAGTCTCTATCCTTTACTACTAATCTGCGATCAAAGTCCAATTTACCTCTTCTCAGTGACCATCTGACTGGATCTGAGGGAACCCTCGGGGATAGAATTCATCTTTTTTTTATCAAAGTAGAAGGGAAATATAAGAGAAAAAACCACTAAGAGCATGCGCAACGGCGAGACATTTCCTCGCTCGCTGCGCCACATCAGCTCCCTCGGCACTTTTGCCTCGCGTGGCTTCAGCCTCCCTCCACGCCAAGCGTGTGAGGCGCGAGGCATCCTCAATTTTTTTTATTTTTTTATTTTTTAGAAGAAATAATTTTTTTAAAAAAAAGAGTACATCTATATAAAAAAGATAAATGAAATAATTTTTAATAATTAAAATGTATTAAAAAATCATAAAAATTGACAAAAACAATGACTTGCCACTGTGCGAGATGCCTCTCCACTCACTTGCCACATGCTGGCTGGATTGTCTTTTATTAGTTGAAATGTGCCACGTCAACGTGTGGCATTCCATTTCGTTACTTGTCATTGCCCGTGCTCTAAGTAAAATTACGTTAATGCTCCCCTCTCAATTTTGCGAGATGCTCCGTACTATTTATTGTTATTAAGGTTATATTGGTAAATTTATTAAAGGAAAATAATTTAATTTTCCTTTAACCCATTTTATCTGCCTATAAAATGCTCTCTATAATTTTATCTTAATAATAATAATAATAATTGTGGATTTTTTTTAAGGGATAAATGTGGAATTTATTTATGAAATGGATAGAATAATTAAAAAGAGGTGATTGATGGGGTGGATATTTATGGGGAAATGGGGAGCTGGAGGGACGGCCAGTTGTTGCCTAGCAGCAAATGGGCTCGCATTTAATGCGCCTCTCGTCTACATATGTCTATGCCTCCTTCCTGCTGTGATTAATTAATTACTCCTAATTAATTGTTTAATTGTCTTTCACTTCTAATCACACCTATTAATTACCCCAACCATTTTTATTGGTTTTAGTGACGCGTAATTTCGTTGACAAAAAAAAGAAAGAAGGTGTATTTTTTGCATTTAACACCAATCAACAGTAATTTTTTCATCTCACATTAGGGCTGGGTTGGGAAAATCGAAAACCGAAACCGAAACCAATCGAAACGAGCTAGAAAAATACCGAACCGAAAAAACTGAAATCCAATATAAAAAATCAATAAGGGAAAAACTCTAAAGGAGTATATACATATCGAAAAAACTACTTCCTCCGTCCCCACAAAAACCCCCACTTTTCTTGTTTTCATTCATCTCAAAAAACTTTTCTCGTTTTTATTAAAGAATCATTTTTATCCCTATTAATTTTTTACCTACATATCACATCATACTCTTTACTACTAATTGATTTACCCATCACATCTATTTTTACCTATCACATCCAAGTACATTTTTGAAAAGTCAACATCAAAATACATTTTCTCTTAAATCTTTTAAAAATAAAAAAATGTTTTGTTTTGTTAAAACTAGTTGACTACCGACGTCATCCATGATCAAATATGCATAATTGGCGGTACGTGTATTATACGTTCATCATTAATTTGCGCGGCAAATTTGTTGAGCCAAATTATAAATTATTGAAGCCGAAAAATAAATGAATAAATATCTCAATTTGGAAAATGTGACCAAGTTTGGTCCTTTTTTTCAACGGCCAGTTTCGCCTTCCAATGCGATAAAAAGGGCCATTTTTAAAATAAAAAAAAAAGTGGACTAAATTAGGTAATATATCAAACTGTTGGAACCACTCGTGCAACATCCCTTATTTACATGATGAAATGAAATAGACTTAAAAATATCTTTAGTAAATTTTGGAGGATCGATATAATATGAGTCTATAATTGTATTTATAAAAAAAGATGAAATATATGTTTTAAAATACAAGTAAAGAAATCTGAAATGAAAGTTTTGAAAAGATTTGAAATGACGGTGGTTAATGATACACGAGATCCAGAAGGCAAATAATATTTTGTAAAATTACAACAATATCAAAACTTTACTAGAAATGAGAGTCCAAGAGTTTCCATTACCACATGAGAGGACTTTTAAAATAGGAGCAAAACAGAATAGAAATATCAAAAAAATAATAATAATAAGAAATGACAAATTTTGGAATGGATAAAAAATAATAGGGGATTATACAAGCTTACAAACCCACCCATAGTGGGAGCAGATCATTACTTGTACCAGATATTGGCAATGGCCAATGGGTAATGAACTAATGAATGCTCGGTGTAGTTTTAGAAAGAAGTTTGTAGATTGCACAAAAAGCTTCGCTTCCCTAACTTTCATCCCAAAATTGGTCAAAATTATTTATTACGGAGTAGTTATTTTAAATTTACAATTAGCAACGTCTATCATTAACAACAAGAACTAAGCACTTTATTGAGTCCAAAATTGGTTATCAGCAATAAGCAAATAAGACTGAGCACAAAGAAACACCTTTTTAGTTTTAACTATTTAAAAATATTATCTAATAATGGCTGATTAAAATTTTCTTTAGTATTTTCAAAACTAGCTTGTACCATTTAAAAAAATTCCAATTCTTTTTTAGCAATAATAATTCTATTACAATGTATTATTTGTTCATAAATACTTTGTATTTCATTCGTCAAAAAGTAGATGTTCTTCTAACTATTTTGACCTCTTAGTAACTTTTGTTTGTTCTCGTTACTTATTCTTTTTTTACTAAATCAAGTCAGATTAGACCAAATCGTATCAGAGACAACCAGATCAGATTGAAATCATTCCGACCAGATGAAGAAAATATGGCCTTAAGAGGTTAAGATTATAAGGTGGAACATATGCATTGAGAATGTGAGCTGCTAAAAAAATATACTCCCGCCCACCCTTCTGTCATAGATGTTCCCAAATGTCTTTTTTGGTTGTCCATGAAATATCTTTCCATTACTTTTCTTAATACTTAAAATACCACAAATAACTAACTTACTTTATTTATTGCACATTAACCACTTCATTTACAATACTCTATCGATTTTCAATAAAATAAGTATTTTAGTAAACTATCATTTTTTTTCAATTCTCCTTAAAATTCACAAAAAAATGAAATGAGTATTTACTAATGGTTACAACGTATAGTACATAATCTCTTAAAAAAATCAAACAATGAAGGGTTAAAATGTATAGTACTCTCTTTGTTCTAAAAGATTGCCACAGTCTGACCTTTTCGGTCAAAATGTGATAGTCTTTGATCATGAATTAAATATAGTTTAAAATAATTAAATATTATAAAATTTTGATATTTCAAAACTATATTTTAAAATAAACTCAATTTTAAAAAATTTACTTTATAAATATACTTTTTTTATAATTTGCGATCAAAAGATGCTATAATTTGACTAAAAAGTCTAATTGTAATAATTTTTTAAGAACAAAAGGAATATATAATCTAATCAAAATAATTAAACACTAAATATATTTTTGGTACCGACTACCGAGGAATGGACTCAGTGGAGTATTTTTGAAGAATCATACTTTCCAAATTATAGGGAGCATTCTACTTTTACACTTAAGGAGTACTCCATTCGTCCCACCCTCTTTGTCCACTTACCTTTTGACACACCATCCAATGCACTTCTTTAATCCATTTATCTTGTAATTTGTATATTAAAAAATTATAGAAATTATATATTTCATTTTATCCATTTTCGAATATTAATTCATCTCTAAAAAGTCAACTTGAATGAAACACTTCCCAATGATAAGGGGGTCAAAGCCGTCTCATATACTCTCAAATTAATCTCTTCCTCTCATATCTTTTTTTTTGTAATTTGAATTTTATATGGAGTAATTAATGTTTTTAAAATTGACTATAAATTATGAAAAAATATATTAAGTCGTAATATAAATTTAATATCAATAGATTTGTTTAGAAACATAATTTTTAATTACTCGGTATTATATTTTTATAATACGGAGTATGTCTTTATACATAATTAAATATATTAATAGTCAAAATATTGAATTAGAGACCGTAAAAAGTCAAATTTGAATAGACATGAAAAGAGGGGGTACCGGAGTACTACGTATTCTACTGTGGCAGCTGACTAGATTCATTTTTTAATTTAAATTTTTAAATGACAATATACATCTTTCATTCTAGATTTAAACTTTCTGTCCCGTTATTATTCACGTAATCAGTATTTAATCACAATCTTTATCTATTTTCATTACTTATTTGATACAATAATATGATCATAGATTTGTCACGTCTCGTTTTATATAATTTCGATATAGTTTATAAATATAAATTTTTTTAAATTTTACATTCATGTTAAAATAATTGAATCGAAAATAACTCAATCAAACCATATAAACCTAAGCGAAAAGAAATTAAATTCATATACTAAATTGTCAATCAAACAAGAAATAGATTGAGTATGCTATTTTAATAAATAGTTAAAAAAAATAAGTTTGAAAAATGAAATGATACCATTATTTACATGCTACTCCGTATTTTATTAAGAAGATTCTCCGTAATAAGAGAAGTACGAGTATTATTGAAAAAAATGATACCATTATTTACATGGTAAAAAAATGATTTTTAAGTAGCCGTGTTTCACAAGTACGAGTAAATAAAATTGAAGGCGGTTGGTGGATAGCAGTTAGCATGCAAATAAATGGGAGAAACCCAGAAATAATATGCTCCTTCGATCTCTACACAAACAAATAAAACAAATATATATATATAATTAAATTACTCATAATAAACCCCTTTTTTTAAATGAAGGAAGAGTACGGCGGCGACGCCCTGTAGTGTGGAGCTGATCATCATCGTCCAGACGGCGGCGGCCTGGCCGGTTGCGGCGGTTGTAGCCAGTCAACGCAACCAACCAACCTATCAATCTGCGTGATGAATTATTTGCACAAGACGTTCATACACATCTCGTAGCTGCCAGTCAAACTCACACCAATCTTCCCCATTCATACAAATCTCCCTTCCTTCCCATTAATAATAATCCATTATATATTCAATAGAATTGAAGTTTCATTTACAACAGCAGCAACCCATATATACATATTTATAGATAGAATCATGAGTTCGGCGGCGGCGGCGGCGACGACGGAGGTGATAATGGAGATAGAGTCGAACAAGCCGCAGGGGAACGGGATGGTGGTGGGAGGGCTGAGCCCGCTGAGCGAGACGCTGTGGAAGGAGAAGGCGAACAACACGGAGTTCGTGGGGGACGTGTCCGCCAGGCTGGCGTGGCAGGACCTCACCGTCATGGTCACCCTCAACAACGGCGACACCCAGAACGTCCTCGAGCGCCTCACCGGCTACGCCGAGCCCGGCACCTTCACCGCCCTCATGGGCCCCTCCGGCTCCGGCAAGTCCACCCTCCTCGACGCCCTCTCCGCCCGCCTCGCCTCCAACGCCTTCCTCTCCGGCCGCATCCTCCTCAACGGCCACAAAGCCAAACTCTCCTTCGGAACCGCGGTTAGTTATTAGTTAGTTACTACTGTTTTGACATTTGATTCTGAACTTGGAACTTATGCATACGTATCCAGGCTTACGTGACGCAAGACGACAACTTGATCGGGACGCTGACGGTGCGGGAGACGATATGGTACTCGGCGCAGCTGCGGCTGCCGGACCGGATGCCGAGGAGGGAGAAGCGGGCGCTGGTGGAGAGCACCATCATAGAGATGGGCCTCCAGGACTGCGCCGACACCGTCATCGGAAACTGGCACCTGCGCGGGATCAGCGGCGGCGAGAAGCGGAGGGTCAGCATCGCCGTCGAGATCTTGATGCGCCCCAGGTTGCTCTTCCTCGACGAGCCCACCAGCGGTCTCGACAGGTCCGCCGCCCCTCCCCCCATAAACTCTTTCCACATTTCATACTCCCAACGTCCCAAAAAATTTATACCTATCAAAAAAATTACGTCCCACAATTTCCTATCCATTTCTATTAAAAAACCACTTTTACCCCTTACTTTTTCAAACCCTACCTATCACATCATACTTTTTTCCTAATAATCTACACCTCACATCCTACTTTTACCCATCACATCAAGGGTATTTTTGGAAAGTCAACACAAAAGTATCCCTCCCTTAATTTTAACTTTAGTCAAAACGTGTAAATCTTTTTGGGACGAAGGTAGTATTAATTAGACCTGTATATTGTGACTTTTTCGAGTCGAATAAATTTTGTGCTTTAATTAAATAAAAATTGTAATATATTTTAAAATAAAAATGACTTTATTGGATTTTTCGTATTGAGAACTTTCAAAATTGTATTTCATTATGTTAATATGCAATATAAATTGAGAGTAATTGGAATTCAAAGTTTGTCCAATTTGATTCGAAAAAATCAAACTAGACAAATACACTGGGACAGAGGTAGTACATTGAAACTAAATGAATATAGACATTCTCGATGCATCAAAGAAAACTTTAATAGCCGGTTATTATGGAATGGAGACGTTGAGAATACATCATTATAATACATAATTCATTTCTCGAGAATACATCATTATAATTCAACTAAAAGTTCAAATTTGTATTTTTCTGTTGGAAACAGTGCGTCGGCATTTTTCGTGACGCAGACGTTGAGGAGTTTGTCAAGAGATGGGAGAACGGTGATCGCTTCGATCCACCAGCCTAGCAGCGAAGTGTTCGAGTTGTTCGACAGACTGTATCTGCTTTCCTCCGGGAAAACAGTTTACTTCGGTCGGGCCTCAGAAGCATACGAGGCACGAAACCAAAACCAATGTTTATTTTCATTATTTCCTCCCTCATTTTCTTTTCTTCCTTCGTCTGATCTAATTTCGTCTGATTAAAGTTTTGCTTCACATTATGATTGTTTGCAGTTCTTCGCGCAAGCGGGATTCCCGTGCCCCGCATTGAGGAACCCGTCGGACCATTTCTTGCGCTGCATAAATTCCGACTTTGATAAAGTGAAAGCTACCTTAAAAGGCTCTATGAAACTTCGGGTAATTTATCTCTTTCTTTTTATACTGTCTCTATGACAATAAGCTTGAGCTCGTGGCTGAGTTGATTTTTTGACAATGGGTCACTCTAAATCCGGATTTTCTCCATTTCTTACTATCAGTTTGAGACAAAAGATGATCCCCTGGAGAAGATAACCACCACAGAAGCAATTAGAAGACTGGTTGATTTTTACCACAACTCTCACTATTACCAAGAGGCCAATCTCAGAGTCCAAGAAATGTCCAAAGTGGTAAATGCCAATTTCTTCAAACTCTTGATTAATTGCTTCAAACTCTTGATTTGATCAATTGCTTCAAACTCAAATGTTTTGTTTGGCTGCAGAGAGGGACAGTTTTGGACTCAGGGGGCAGCCAAGCCAGCTTTCTGATGCAGGCATTCACACTAACCAAACGCTCCTTTATCAATATGTCCAGAGACTTTGGGTATTACTGGCTGAGGCTGGTTATCTACCTTGTGGTTACTGTCTGCATTGGAACCATATACCTCAACGTCGGAACCGGTTACAGTTCCATCCTGGTAACAACATTCTTCTCCCTCTTTGTGTACACAAAAACCAAAGCTTTTCCTTTCTATGTATGTCTAATATAATCTGTCCCCAATGACTTACAATTACTCTTTGGCATGAATTTGCTTACAAACAACAGGCTAGGGGTGCTTGTGCGTCTTTCGTGTTCGGCTTTGTCACTTTCATGTCCATTGGAGGCTTCCCTTCCTTCGTCGAAGACATGAAGGTTAGATAATCGTTTGGGTTCAATCTTTACAGTGACTTGATTGGGTTCAATCTTAATGAATGAATGGGTGGGTTGGGAAAACCAGGTGTTCCAAAGAGAGAGGCTGAATGGGCACTATGGGGTGGCTGCATTTGTGATCAGCAACACGTTCTCTGCAACGCCGTTCTTGGTTCTGATCACCTTTCTGTCCGGCACGGTCTGCTATTTCATGGTCCGCCTCCACTCCGGCTTCTCCCATTACCTCTTCTTCGTGCTGGCTTTGTACGCGAGCGTGACCGTGGTCGAGAGCCTCATGATGGCCATTGCCAGTATTGTCCCTAATTTCTTGATGGGTATCATCACCGGTGCTGGAATTCAGGTACTTTTAAAAAAGTCACTTTTACCCCTACTACTTCTTAACCTATTTCTAGAACGTATAACCTCCATTTAGCCAGTTAGTTTTAGGACATAATCTCACAATTATGGTTGTGTGTAGGGCATATTTATGTTAGTCTCAGGGTACTTCAGACTCCCAAATGACATCCCAAAGCCTTTCTGGCGCTACCCCATGTCCTACATCAGTTTCCACTTCTGGGCTTTGCAGGTAACATCAACACATCCTCAATCCCAAGTTTTTTCCATGAATGCCAAACAAGGTCTTATTTTAGTGTGCTTGATGAATCACCATTTCTTCCTTGATCACACAACAGGGGCAGTACCAAAATGACCTGAAGGGGCTGGTGTTCGACAACCAAACGCCGGACCTCCCCAAAATCTCTGGAGAATTCATTCTGGAAAACCTGTTCCAGATCGACGTGAACAGATCAAAATGGGTGGATCTCAGTGTCCTGTTCAGCATGATCGTCGCGTACCGCCTGATATTCTTCGTGGTGATCAAGATAAACGAGGACGTGACGCCGTGGATCCGGGGGTACATTGCGAGGAGGAGAATGAAGATAAAGAAGAATGGAAACCAAACTGCCCCCTTTGCTCTCACACAGTCCCCTTCTTTGAGGAACTATGCTGCTGCTTCTTCCAAAAAGTAGGAGAGATTCTTTTCTTAATTATTAATTATTAATTATTATTATTATGATTAATTATAATAATAGGTTGAAATGTTGTTTAGCCTCCCAAGTTTTTTTTACACACTTGTAAGTTGTAATATGGTGTGACAAATCAAAGATGAGAGAGAGTTGTGTTTCATTTGACTACGTTCTACTCCGTATTAAATTTCTGATACTTATCTTTTCTCTAAGCTTTTTTCTATCTTTTGGAGCATAAGTTTCTTTTCATTATAAGTGCAAAAATTTAGTTTTTAGCACTAAAAATAAGGCAAAAAAAAAAACCTATCGATGTTATTTTTCAAACATACTCAAATGTAGAAAAAAAATTTTGGGACAGAATGAGGGCCTTTATGTTGCAGATTAATATTAGAAACACATCACAAAAAAACTAATATTGGATAAAATTTTCAAAATACAAAAGGTAAATGGGAGAGCTAATGCCACATAGAGGGGACATCAATTAAACACTACTGACAAGAAGTTGAAGACATTAAAACGAGTGCCGCGAGTGTGGGAGACGTTAGATCAAACATCTTATCTGTTAGCATAAGAATATCAATATATAATTGCAAAAAAAAAAAAAAACTTTTGAAGAGTGAACAACAATTTTCAAAAAAGTGCTTTTACAAATAAAAATGCCAACAATATTATGCCATTACACCGTCATTTTTATCCCAAACTACTTAATTACGACAAGGTCTCCTTGACACTGGCCTTCAGTATCAACTAATGAAACTCGCTCATTTGTCTTCAGGTGCTCCAAATGAAAAATTGATAATTCCTACCGACCAACCCCCTCCTTAAACCCCCACCACACCCCAGCCAAGTCCGACCTCTGCGCCCCATCCTAGACCCCACTTTTACCCCCCCCCCTCCAAATGAACGAGTGTCATCCGTTGACACTGGATGCCAATGTCAACAAAACCTTGCCGACTTAATTAAGACCAAAACATGCTCAACACACCAAAATAGAACTTTCAATACTTTTACACCAAAATATTACATATAATGTCAAAGAGTGTCAATATCGAAAACACCGCATATCACCGATATACAATGTCAAGTTGTGGCATTGCACAGTGCCAAGGCCAGGATAAAAACATAGTAATGTATAGATGGCACATGAATAGATAGCCAGGCAGGCAGGCAGATAACAGCGGAGTAGTAAGGAAGGGGGTTGGGTTGGTCCGTAAAAGCACACACTAGAAGACGTATTCGGGAGGGGGGGCTTCTTCTGGGATCTGAAAAACAGATCGAGGGGAGATAAGTTTTGCAGCCAAATATTAAGTGCGCGCATTCAGTAAAAATGACTAGTAGTACAACATCTTTCTTTATCTGTCCCTCTTTCCCCTTTTTCTTCTTTCTGGGTGGGGTAGTTGGGGGCATTTATATCCACACTTCTTGAATCATTCAAGCTAATGGTACTTCAAACTAATTTAATTTAATACAAAAAATTGCATTTAATACTCGACGGGAGTATATTTTTAGGAGCATGCTAGGAACCCACCACGGTTGTACCCATAGATGACAATCACAGATGATTTATGCACACACAAACGATAATTATCTATGGACACCGACGATTAACGTTTGTGTCTGTATAAAATCATCTGTGATTGTCACCGTGGTGGGTTTTTAGCATTATTCATACTTTTAATATACAATACCAGTTTTTTATGTTCATCATACATCACATTTTTATACATTTATTTTTACTACGCTTGGATCTTTCACTTCGATTATTATCAAGGAAAATTCATTGTTGGATTGAAAGATATTATTAACACATAGATCATCGTCCTAAAATTTCACAAAAATCTGAAATCGTTTCATCCTAAATCATATCACTCAAGTTTTAATTCTTTTAACATGTTTTCAAACTTGATATTGCTTTAACTTTGTTATATTAAATGGACTATGAAACAATTATTGGATTTTTGTAAATTTTAGGATAATGATCTATACATTAAGGAGTACTAACTTTCAACCCAACGGTGGGTTTTGTGTTTAAACAAATCATAACAACAGTTTATGAAGGATGTAAGATTTGTTATGTAAAAACTAATGTAAGGTATATAAAAATAGTATCCTTGCAAATTTTCCATGCATTAAATATCACAGTGAACAGTGATGGCCTTCCATACACTGCCTAAAGATTAAACTAACGAGAAATGTTACATACCCACCCCTTGGAACACGCCCTCCCACACCCTCTCTCATGTGGGTGAGCTCCACTCGGGAGAGACCTACCCACATGTGAGATAAGGCGTGAAATGATGTGCTCCAAGAGATTTGTGTAGATTCATTTTTTTTTTTTGTAAATTAACACACTTTGTCCTAGAAAAATTTCTCACTTTCGATTTATGTATGCCTCAGACTAATGTTTAAGCTTGTGGTTCATTTTATTTTTCTGATAAGCGTGTCAGTATCGTTTTAAACCAAGGAAGATAGTATTGTCCTTTCTAACCATAAAGGCTTGACCAAATTTTGCCAAGTAATTTATTGTTGATAAAAAGTAGTTCTAAAACCCAAATGAGCAAACAGTCTGAGTTGTCTTTGATTGTTATGCCCTCCAATTAGTGTGGGTGTCGTCATCATTTGTACTATTCTTGAAAATGTATTTCCATGTGATCATGCCTTGAAAAAAACTAAGGTTTCAATTAATGAAGGCCAAGACCTCTCAACCAACTAGCCATTCAACATGATGCATGTACGGAGCAATTTCTTACCTCGCCAATCTTCCATTCCTTAGCCCAAATGCTTTCTTCAAAATCAGCACGCACCTTCTGCGTCCTGTTAAAAAGCAAACCCGAACCGATAGCCATTAAGCAGAACAAAGTGTTACGGGGACACAACTGTCATTTTTGAGTGGTGTAGTGAAGACTGAAGAGACGGCTTTGAAAAGGAGCGGTAGCGGTGAGATTGGAAAAATAGCAACGAGACAAAATTATATCTATATATATATATATACCACCCNCCACACACCCAATTGGCATTTTTCTCATTTGCTTGCAATAACCACCCATATAAACAAGGACAACAACCATCTCAGTAAAGTTTCATTGGTAATAAACTTCAGGAATGGTGACACCGAAAAGGTTGAATTGTGTGACTTCTATATTAGGCTTGACTCCGCCAGTCACATATATTAGAAACAATAGTTGATGGGACTTACATAGAGCCGGTATTGCCAGCTGGTTGTCCATTGAAACCAGAAAGTTGTGGAAATGAAAATGTAGAAGATGAGTTCCTGTCGCCAGTTAGGGCATTGTTTAAAGTTGTCGGACTGGAGGTGAAGGGGCTCTGAGCTGACGGAGCACCAACTTGACTGCCAAACAAGCCTACCACACAAAAGCAAATCAGAAGGACACTGCTGAAAGTGTAAGCAAAGGTGTGTAGCACTACAAGAGTTATATGTCACCTCCATTTCCAAATGGCATTTTATTATTCAGCCCATTTGCACCCGGAATCTGACCGAAGGGATTTGATTGCTGGGAAATGCTATTTGAAGGAGCTGATAGCCTTGTGTTTGGAAGAAAAAGTCATCATCCATAAAAAGCCAAGATTTTAACAAGGACATGTGCTAATACTTGTCTAGTAGCACAAAATCAATACTGACCCTGATGTATTCAATAATGCGCCTAACTGACCAAAACTTGAGGCAGATGGAGGACTTTGAGCACTTGTTGGGACAGCTTGACTGGCCCCAAACAGAGAACTCTGTGAACCAGAAGTTGAATTTGCTGGAACTGAATGATGATTATGATTATGCACGAGGCTATCAAATTCAGCTAACTTGGATCTAATTAGACTCCTCTCCCGCTCAATCTGCATTATATTGGGCATGGAAAACTGTAAGAAGCGAGTACATGAAAAATGAGTCGCACACATAGCTCTTGGGGAAGCAAATAAGAAAACATCATGTGTGGTAGGCTTGTTTGGCAGTCGACTCATTCTCTTAAAAATGAGTTATTATAGCTTTCCTTGTTTTCTTTCAGTTTCTTTTTGCCTTTATTTGGCATGTTGGAATAAGGTTGTAGAAGAATAATGACTCCAACTCCTTCCCATGTTAGATGTGCTTTAAATTTTTAATTAAATAATATTCCATTAGATAAAATTCAAAATTCCCTGAGACTGATGTTCAAATCCAAACCTTTCCATTTATTGCATGAAAGGAATAACGATTCCAATCTAGAAATACTGTATACTACGGAGTATATTTTATAAGGATCAAAATAATTTCAATTTAACAATGTCGTTGCCCTTGATCTTTGAAGCAAAATCTCCCCCTAAAAAAAGGTTTCTATGGTGCTATATGGATATAAACACACAAAACTATTTACTCATAACTAATTTTCAGGAACACGAAGGCACGAAGCACAAATAGAGGACAGAAGAAATTAAAGTAGTGAACTTCTTACAATTGATTGTAAGTTCACTCCACGTTTAGCATCTTCGTACGCTGCCGACCTTAGCTCTTCATAGCTAACATCACCAAAGGCGTCACATGGACCACTGCATTTGTTAAAATTAATATTATGGGCCAATGTTCGTTATCCATCCAGCTATAACTGGGTATACTTCAGCATATTAATTTCTAGAGTAAACTTGAGGGATTCCTACCATTAGATAGATTGGTTGAGGCTTCATGGCTTAGCACTCAGAACTATTTCCATCTTGCAACTAATTTGCCAAAGATGCAATTTTTTTAATTGATGTTTCACATCAATCATTCATATCAGAACGAACCCGGCAAGTGAACAAATTGATCAAAATGCACGAGAAGATATTTAAGAGAATGCATACTTTTTGAGGTGACCATAGCAAGTAAGATTCCATAGAGGCTTCTCATTTTGAAAATCTTCAACAATTTGGCGTTTGCAAGACCCCGGATCTGTGCAGCTTTGAATGTGATACAACAAATCCCATCAGTTAACAGAGCTGCTATCACATGAAATAGCACACACGCACAAAACCACAGAGATGAACATAAGTTTCTGAACAATCACTCACGTATGAGTAGGTGCTGCCTGCTGATTGTCTGGTTGCCGTGTAGAAGGGGCACTATTGTTTGCAGATCCACGTACCCACTTATTTTCAAATGGCTGATTGGATCAAAACAAAATAAATAAATTAGCTCAAGGACCATGACTCCACAAACATACATCAATGAAAGAACAAACCCAAATCCACTCTACAAGGAGGATATAAAATAGAATAAAAATCTCAAAGACACTTATAGTGGTTTATATAGCACAACAATATTGTTCTTGGTGCTGCCCGGACAGACCACCGAGGCAGGTCAGGCCACCAGATCAGCGTCCGGGCAAGTTTGCCCGGGCTGAGTTTTATATGATACAGCACTAGGGAGAGCCACACCCTAAAAGCTAATTGTTAAGGTGAGAGAACCCTGCCATATAAACCCATCACTAAGTCCCCCATTTAACCGGTGTGGGACAATGAAATCAGTATCATTATACGCACTCCATCAGTTCTCATTACCCACAAAAAGAAAACCACTGTATATATTTCAAAACCCAATCACCATATTAAGAGATACAGATCTTTTAGGTCACACCATTGTTGGCAAGCTAAATAAGATAACTGCACATCAACAACAAAGAACCTTGTATTGACTCTGTTTCAGTCCAGCATTATCATCTCTTCTCGACTGAGAGTTACTCTGAACACCAAACCCAAAAGGATTGGGGGGACTCTGCTGCTGCTGCTGAAAATTCGTCCTCTGCGATTGTGAGCCATTTTGGCTCCCAAATCCAAACACGTTCGGTTTCGACTGCTGTTGGGTTGCATGAAGAAACTTGCAATGAGCACCATAACGACAGCTGCTCGGAAAAGGGGCCAGGGATTAGGCGTTGCTTCGAATTACAGATTGGAAAACCGCAGATCATAATTAGGTAAAGATAGTTCTTGACGGAGATCAAGTTCTTAAACCATAGAAATAACGATTAAGCAGAGGAAATTGATTAAACAGTACTGGGTATTATAATTATGAACGGGCACACCTTCCGCTGAGGAAATTCCGGCATAGCTCGTTCTTTCGAGGCATTCTGAGCTTTTAGTGGCGCACTGGTTTTGGCCGTGACAATTTTTGGTGTTTCGGCAGATGTTTAAAACATGCTCAATCAGTCAATTGTAAACATAATACGGAGTATTAATGTATTTGAAACGTAGTTTTGAAATATCAAATTATAACGAGTATAAAATATATTCCGTATTTATGTACAATTATAGATATTAATGGTCAAAGTGTAACATTAGAAACTGTGAAAAGTCAAATGAAAAGAATATTTTCGGACCAGGAGAGGAGCGGAACCGTTATTGTATGGATCTCTTAATTCTCTTTATTGTTTTAGGAATACCCCATAAAAATCAAAATATGTAGTTGTATTTAACTTTGTACATGCATTAAGTGTATAACAGATATATACAAATAATAAATATTTAAATGTGTGTACATGTTTATTTTTGTATATCTCTGTTACACACTTGACGGGTACTCCAAACTTATTGGTTTTTTGTGACATAATATTAGCCAAGAAAGTGCACATTACACATAATGTTTGGAAAACCCCATTTTACATATCACTTTGCCCATTACAAAGTACAAACAAACGCTTGTGTTCCATATACAATAAAGATACGTGTTTGCATGTGATGCACTTCCTTACCAGATCTTTTGTTTTGACTTTTTTTAATTTTTAAGGAGAATAAACAAAGTGAAAACTTATCAAAATAACCTAAATAAAATTGGATAAAGTGTATTAAATGAGATGTGTGACGTGTTATAAATAAAATAAGTGAGGACAATTGCGATATTTAAAATATTAAAAAGGTATTAAAAAATATATGAAAGACAAATAAAAAGTACTAATAAAAAGATCTATATGGACAGAGAGAGTATAAAATAGTATGGAAAGTGAGTTCTCAAACATTTTTCTTGTTTTATTTATTTTTGTTTCTCAACACTTTTAGAAGGATAACATGTTATTAGAGTCACAAATGAAAAACACAAAACTCATCATTTTTTAGTATCTCTAAACTCATTGGCACATGCAGTATCTGTTAACATTAATTTCAACATTCTAATCACGGGAATAGAAATCAAACATTAGACGTTGAGAAGTTTGAGATGACTTTCTGGTCACTGCGTCAATATGTTTCCACTATTTTTTAATTATTTAATATTTAAGATTATTGTAGTAAAATTTATAAATAATAATGTTGTTAATTTTCTATTTTTTATTTTAATTTATGTCTAGCATTTTAATCTCTCTGTTGCAAATTAAGTTATTTAAAGTTTCAAAATTCATTCATTTTCAATTCATATTTTGATATAATTTTTAATATGTAAATTTTAGTACTCCGTATATTATTATTCTTTTTCAAATAAATTGTATTGAAAATAATTCCATTCAAATATCTTAAACTGAAATAGATAATTTAAGCGAGAATAAAGGTTAAAAATGGTAAACTGGTACTCCGTAGAAATGAATCAACAATAACGGAGTAGGGTTTTCTTTTCTTTTCACAGTTGGGAGAGAAAAGCAAACAGCGAGAGACAGAGGGCAGTGAAGAAGGAGGGATGGACAAAGGGGAAGGATGCGCGAAGAACAGGATCTACGTCGGAGGTTTGGGCGAGAATGTGACCGCCGATGATCTGAAAAACACTTTCTCTTCGCCGCAGCTCGGCTCCGTCCAATCTGTCGACATCATTCGTACTAAAGGCCGAGCCTTTGCTTACCTGGATTTCGTCCCTTCTTCCGATCACTCCATTCTCAAGCTTTTCAGCAAGGTCCGCTTGTGATTTCCATGTTCTATCAAATTTTCTGTCCATTTAACTGTAAATATTGAAAGAGTGCCGCTATAGTTGCCCAGTTATGCCAACTTTGACATCTTTAGTAGCAATAAGTTTCTGTGCGCGTGTGCGTGAGATACAATGGTGTCATATTAGAATTACTCTTCTAGAAAAAGCTTTTAAAATTATGGCTGCCAAGCTTTCCGCAAACAAATTAATGCTATTAAGGGTGCTTTAATGGCAAAAAAAACCAAGTTTAGGATTGACTTTGCAACTTTGCAGACAGATTTGTGATAGGAGTAAGTTCACATGCAACATCAATCAATTTCAGGATGATAATACTATATGTATGGAAAACCACTTACCATCTCTATTTTAACACACTGGATTACATGGAAGTACATCATAAACAACAAAAACTTACATAATTTTGTAATGTGATTTGACCTACTCTCGTTTTCATGTTATGTGTTGTCTGTGCGTAGAAGTTTAATGATTTCTACTTGTGTCCTCTCAATGTCCAATTGTTCAGTATAATGGATGCACGTGGAAAGGTGGGAGACTAAGACTTGAGAAGGCTAAAGAGCACTTCCTTATACGTCTGGAGCGTGAACGTGCAGAGGATACTAAAATTGATGTTAAAGTTTCTAGTGCTTCGGAGCATCCTCCTTTGAGTGTCATGACAAGTTCTCTGGACAAGCTAAAGAAGAATCAAGCCATGGACAAAATGCAGCTCCACATTTACTTTCCCAAATTTAGAAAGGTAGAGCCTTTGTTATTCTCTTCCTCAATTCGCTGTTTTGATGAATATTTTTTGCTGCTTCTCTTTAATTGCATACTGCCCGGTTTGTGTGTTTAGGGAAAATAAATGTGATGCATTTTCCTGAATACTTATTTTGAGTTCCAAGTGTTCACTAAAGCACGCGTGGGTGAGCATTGTTGTTAGTTATGCCATTTGTAATTTCTTCATGCAGATAAAATCAATACCCTTCAAAGGATCCGGGAAACACAAATATAGTTTCCAGCGTGTGGAAGTCCCTCCGTTCCCGATTCACTTTTGTGATTGCGAGGAGCATTCTGGCTCAGCATATTATACAGCCAAAGCAAATGAAACAGAAATCAAAATGGGTGGGGTAGATGAGAAGGAGATGAACATTATGTCATCAGTTTTGAATAAGATACTTAAGAGGGAGAACCACTCAGAGACAGCTGTTACCAAAACACAAAATGTAAACAATGTAGCCGATTATAGCATGAGGGAGGAAGATATGGTTGATGAAGAAGATGATGGTATTATTATTAATGTGACTGGAGGGCAAAATCATGGAATTTCTTCATCGTATGCTGTAAGCCAGAAATCAGACACACATGATCTGGTATGCGTTAATAACTTTGCTTGTATTTGTATATGAAATTTGGATTTTGCTTCTTAATTAAACCATGCATATAAAGGAAAGATGCATACTGGATTAAATAGAAGCGGTATACTTGTGTTTTCCCAATAGTAAGATTCATTAAGACGGCTTCCGTCTCTCACTCTTTACAATTACGACTATAATAATTGGGTCAATACCATTATCAAGGGCCCTTGATTTCAAGGTCCAAGAGAGGATTGAGTTGGGGTAGTGGTTTCATCCATGTGGGTCGTCCAGTGCAGGGAAAACTACTACAATTTTCAATGAACTTCAGAGTACCTTTTTCTTTTAAAACAATGTTCTGGAAACTATCCACTTTGATGTATTTTGACATTCTTTATTGTATCTCTCACACGCCTTTAGTGACCGTTTGTGTGACCTGGAAAATACCAGGGGTGTGTAGGAAGGATAACATAGAGGAAAATTAGAAGGGAAGAAAATGTGGTGGAAAATATAAACTAAAACTCAATAAATTTGTTTTAGATAATTGTTACTTTAAAAAAAATATATAGATTAAGAAACCTAAACATTTGAAAAATAATTAAAACTTTTTCATATTTTATTTTTCTTTGCATTTTTAGAAGTAAAACCAAACACAAGAAAATAACTTTGCTTGACGTTTTTCTTCTCTTCATAGCATTTTGCGGAATCCAAACACACTTTAGATGTCCAGAAATCGTCAGTCAAGGTAAAGTATGGAGATCAAAAGATCATAGCTTCGAGAAAGAGAAAAGCTCCTCAAGATGGAGAAGGTGGTGCAGTAGATAATTTGTCTGCAATAAATGATAAGAAGCATTGCTCTCATGCACATGGTGGTGTTGCAGTAGATGCTAGTCATGTTGAACCAAACATGAAAGCTGATCTTCACGTAGTAGATATTGGGATGGACATAACTCCTCCTGAGAAGAATCAACTGCATGATCGATCGGGGAAGAAGGAATTGCATTCTAAATCTAATGGTGTTGATGAACCAACCATGAAAGCTGATCCTCACGTTGGGGTAGAAATAACTCGTGGGAAGAAGGAACAGAGTGATCAATCGGAGAAGAAGGAATTAAAATCTAAGTCTAATCAATCTAAATCTAATGGTGTTGATGAACCAACCATGAAAGCTGATCTTCACACTGCAGACATTGGAGTGGTGGAAATAACTCCTGGAAAGAAGCAACGACGTGATCAACCGGAGGAGTTGCAATCTAATTCTAATCAATCTAAATCCAATGGAGTTGATGAACCAACCATGAAAGCGGATCTTCACACTGCAGACATTGGGGTCGAAATAACTCCTAGGAAGAAGCAACGGCGTGCTCAAACAGGGAAGAAGGAATTGCAGTCTAAATCTAATAAATCTTATGATGTTGATGAACCAACCATGAAAGCTGATCTTCACACTGCAGACATTGGGGTAGAAATAACTCCTGGGAAGAAGCAACAGGCTGATCAATCAGGGAAGAAAAAATTCCAATCTAAGTGTATTCAATCTGAATCCAATGGTGTTGAAGAACCAACTGCAGAAGCTGATATTTACACTACAGACATTGAGGTGAAAATAATTCCTCCTGAGAAGAACCAGAACCAGTCTCATGCACAGGTTGGTGTTGCAGCTGATGCTAGTCACGCTGAACCAAACATGAAAACTGACATTGCGGTAGACGTCGGGGTGGACATAACTCTTCCCGAGGAGAATCAACAGCGTGAGCAATCCGGGAAGAAGGAATTGCGAGCTAAATCTAACAGTGTTGATTTGCCGTGCTTCACTGATGTAAAAACTCAGGAAAAACCACAACAAATTGGGGAAGCTTCTTCAAGCAAAGAGAATGCATCTGGTGATAAGTCATCAGCCAGAGGTAGTTCATGGCTGCAAACACGCTCATGGGCACAGCTAGTGGGTGATCCCAGAAACAGTTCATTTAGCCTTTCTCAATTTTTGCCCAATTTAAATGTTGAGAAGAGACCAGACTCAACAACAACCCTAGTAGATTCCCAGAAGAAGAGACAAGACTCATTGTCCTCAAAAACAGGGGAAGGACCCATACTTGATCATCAAACTCCTCCTAGAAGTTCTATGGAGTTTGCTTCATCAGAAGAGAAAAAGAACAATGTTGAAGTGGCGGGCGTGTCCATGCCAGATGATCACAAGGAAGACAACAAGAACGACGAAGAGAAGAAACATAAGTTTACGATGAAACAAACACCCCTCCCAGACATTGGGGGATCTTTTTCCTTCACCAGAAATGCTGCATCGATGAGACAATGGAGAAAGGCGAAATCGGCGCTGAGTGGCTCTCGCAAAAAGAAGGCATTGTAAAAGATTTTTTTAAGGTTTGGCAATCTTCATTATTTAGATTTTTGATATTGAATCTAAGAGTCCCTGTCGGATAGGCTTTTAATTATTACCAGCTCTTCGACACAACATCATTTGAGCATTCAGTTTTTCACTAAACATTAACAGCCTGTTTTTTTTATGCTTTTTTTTTTTACTAATACTCATTGGTCATATATTTAGCTTTTACTAATTCTGTCCTAATTTAAATCGTCTATTTCGGATGTTTGACTGAAATTATTTTCAAAATATTTTATATGAAAATGGTGTAGAATTAAAAAAATAAAAATTACATATTTAAAAACTATATCAAAAGATCTAAAAAAAACTAGTATTGCTCTATATTATTTTATTAAATTAACGAAAATAGAGAAAAATGAATGAAGTTTGACCATGTTAATAATAAATATGCAACTTAATTTGGGACAGAGGAAATACATCCTTCGTCTCATATATTTTCTTCCCATTTTGACTTGTGGCTAATGTTTTAAAATTTTATTCATAAACAACATAAAAAATATATTTGTATTAAATTAAATTTAGTAAATCCATTTCAAAATGGAATTTTGAATCGTGCCCAGTCCAATTTTTTTTAACGTTTCAAAACACTTCACTCTATTTTTTAAAAAAGTACTGTAGTAAAAATTTGGTTGACATAATGTTAATCGGGCAAGGTTCTCATGACATTAGGAATCATGTTCCGTTCGTAAAATTAACGTCCTCCTAACCCCCCAGTAAACTCCCCCACCCCGCCCCGACTCGAACACATCCCCCACCCCCTTCAATTGCACCCTACAAGCTGATTTTGACTTTGGAGGGGTGGAGGGGTTTACCGAGGGGTTGGGAGGGTAGGAACCGTCAATTTTACGAAAGGGACACCGGAACGCCCCGGGTCATCCCATGACATTAGTTCCCAATGTCATGGGATAATCATCTAAATAAATTTCAAGCATACCCCATTTTTCTTGAATATCGAAAGAGTCAAAGATTTTTGTGAGGAAAGAAGTATGATGGTTAGAATAGCTGAATAGTAAAACCAAATACTAACCTATTCATAGGGATTACGGGGTAGATCTTAATTGTTACATTAAAATGTATACTTTTCCAAACTCACTTGTTAGTTTTAAGTAACAAACAGGCAATTCTTTGCAAATTGTAATGTCAATAATAATAATAACAATGAGGTATTTCTGACAGGATACAAACTTCACAAACATCCAATTTCAAGACATTGTTTAATGTCAATGACTGAACTGCCCCTTGAGGGAATACAACAAGTCAACTCAAGAAGTACTCCGTACTAAATAAGGATTCAAAAGGAGTGTCTTTTTTTAGGAAAAAAAATTGCCAGTACAGAATACGCAAAGTGTTTTAAGAAATTGGAGAAGGGAGATGACTATTTTGATTCCTTTGCTAGTTTTTCAGCTTGAGTTCCTCCTCAAACTGAAGTAACTTCTCGCGGAGGGGTTGTAGAAAGAGTTGAAAATCTTGAGTAATCCGATGCTTGTCTTTTTGTTCAAGATCCTTGTTGTCACTGAGTCTTGCCTTAATCTGCAAATAAAAAGAGCAATACATATTACAATAGGCTCCGATGTATTCCCATAATTTTTTCTTCTCAAGGTTTACACATTTCAACTTTTAACTCCAAACTCATAACTCCGGACTCCAGTTTAGAGAGTTTAGTTAAAATTAATAATAACTCAAACTCTAGTTAAATTAAGGCAGGAAAGAGAAAACAAGCCCATAGTCTCTAAACTCTAGTATTGGGGTTATCTTGAGGCTCTCGAGTGATCTTGGGCGACTTTGACTTAAAAAGATTATGGCCTTGTTTGGAAACAACATTTTCGATAAGCGTTCGTGTTTTGGATAAAAATTTAATGGTGTAAATTAACTTTAAAAATGCTAACGCTATAGGCTACCCTTAGATAGCATTTTCAAAACACTAACCTTTAACGTTGTTCCCGGACTGGGCTTATGGTGTTGCTTCCAACTATGATACTTTTTAATGTTTTGGTGGCCTAGCCTTTAGAGAATATGTGAAAGTTTTCTTCAAGAATTTCTTTTCTTCCACCGTTATTCGGCTTGATTCACATCAACATAAAATGATCAAATCTTTGTAATATTCAAGCTTCCATACACAACACACCCTTTCTTTTTGTATGGTTTCTAATATAATTTGATTTAGGAAAAAGGAAATAGTTGTACCTACGCTTGAGTTTAAAAAACATACCTGCAAGCCATCCAGCTCACCAAATGAAAACTCCTGTATATCTATATGACCCTTGACCACCTTCGTCTCAGCTCCAACGAGCCACTCACCTATATTTCACCTCATCCCATTAAGAGAACAATTTATACAGAAGTATGTATTGGAGTATACAGCTCACACCAAAATAAAAATTGAATTAGTCAAATAATAGCAGCAATACCAATAACATGAAACATTACCTTTCACACCAAGTGTTAGCTCATATGTGTAGCCAACACGCTTTTTATTCCGTACAGTCACCAAGAATGCCTGATATTACAATCAAACATGCATGTGAGAAATAAAAGTTGAATATCTGCACACTAAAAATTAAAAGAACGTAATATCTTTAGTGAAAGATGTCCACTTTGTTTTTCAATTCTCAGCGTACATAAAATTATACTCATAAAACATTAATGATAAAAACACAAAATTAGAACAGGCAAGAGAAGGGTAATGATGGTGTTAAATTTTAAAGCACTCACGTCTCCACTACTTATTGTTACTTCTGTTATTTCAGCTTTGCCGCCGGACAACTCCAAAGATCCAACAGACACAAGCAACTCCTGCAGTTGAGAGACAAATGAGGATGCATTTTCACCCTAATGTACTTAATGAGTTGTACAATATGAGCGTTAATCTCTATCTTTATGAGTGTCTTAATGAACATATAAGTAACAACACACAAGCTATATGATTAATTGCTTCTGTTTTCTTTATTTTGATCTCTTTGCTCCCAATTCTATCTCTGAATTGGATTAATATTGTATTACTCTGCATGATTCATCAAGAGAAACTTTACCTTTGTTTAAATCAGTGCCTAGTATATATGGGATCATTATTACATAAAGAGCAAAAGATGAATCGCTTCATGCTTGCTTTGGATCCATTTCACTTCTACGATTCCCGGTGGGTTAAGCCTTTGTTGTTGTTCTTGTTTCCTATTTGTCCTTATATGATGCATATATTCATGTATGAATCAAAGTACTTTGCTATAATAGAATTTGAGTCCTAGAGTTGAAACAATTTCTCTGCAAGTTTGTTTTTAATCATGAGGGGTATGTACCACATGGTGCTACCTCATTGACCCTTCTTCATTAAACAAGACAAATAATGAGTAGTGACTGTGAGTCTATGGCATAAAAAAGGTTCCCATAAAGCTGCACAATTCCCATTTTGTAGCAAGTAAGAGACTTACAACAAGCAAAAACCAACAAAGTAGTTTCCACAAAGATAAAATCCATATAAAGCACTAAATCCCAATAATTCTGAAACTACAACCCAGATAAAAGGGCAACCATAGTCTAAAAGGTGCATCAAATTCAAACCTTAATCCTAGTTTTAGCCCATTTATCTAGACTTTTTTCCTCCCAAGTACCAGCCTGCAAAGAAAAACAAAGCGTAAGTGAAAATGTAAAAGATACAAATCATACTGTGTACTTATGTTTATAAGAAATAGGCTTAGAATAACATGATCTGGTTTAGGTGTTGCCATATTGGGGTGGCGGGGGATCAGGAGGTGGCAAAAAAAAATAAAGCACATGGAAAATAACACAAAAGAACCAAGGTAGGATGTTTCACATATCAAAAGCACATTGAGATACCTGTTTGACAACCAAGTTGCTAATTTGTTGTAATGTGTAAAAAACTATGCATCAACGTCAAGAAGAATGAAATGGAAAACACAAAAAAACTTGGTCTAATTTCGAAAATGCAATTGCATATCCCTCCAAATGCACCTAAAACATGCTGCTTTGTTTCACATCATTGCCCCCTCCCCTACTGAAGAAATATTCTATGTAGTATGGAGTAATAATTTTTAATGCCCCATTCATAAACTTCAAAAAACACAAATGTACATTGATTTGGGAAAAACTAACTTGTATAAAAATTCCATCTGAGAATAAAATACTAGGTCATTATAACCGATTGTCCACACATTGTCAACAAGCCACTACTTCTACCAAGTTGAACTGTGGAATTAGAACAATGCTTTCAACAGATCTAACATTTGTAGGTCCTATCTATGCCAAAAGTAAACTAACTTCAACTATGTATCATCAACTCTACAATGTACTGATAATTGTGCTAAATCATGGACAAATTCAAGCAGCACCACCTATTTCTTGTCCCATACCACCAATATATTAATCATAGCTAAATGGTGCACACGCATCCAGCTTAAATAGCTACAAATCAATAAATGCAAAAGAACTCCACAAAGTAAGTAGCAAAATATATTTTTTTATTTCAAAGATGGAGGGGAAAAGCTACCGAGTTCCATGCCGAGCCAAGGTGGGCAGTGGTTTGATTGTTAGTTTGGTCCTCAGGGTTGAGCTTCCGGGGAACCGGCGGAGGGGCAGCATCTGATGTCCTTTCCCTAACCCAATAGGTATATGACGCCGCCGCCTGATCCTTAGGCGTCCCCTCAGCGGCGGCGGCGGCTGCAGCTGCACCTCCGTCCATGACTATTCCGGAGGATTATTGATCGATCGAATAATAAAAGGATTAAATATTCGTGTCGATCAATGGATTCCAAATTCACAGCAGAGAACAATATATCAAAAACGGGCACCCAATTGGCTCTTACGTTTCAATATTCAAGCTTCGAATACATGGAAGATCGTAAATGGCGATAATGGGAACGCATTGTTCTCTGTATATAAATTAGGGTTCTTCTCTGGGACCTTGCTTCCGGAAGGTTCGATTTGAATTGAGAACTGTACATACCCCCGAGCAATAATTGCCCAAATGCGGAATTGGATGGTAGAATCCGGGCGGTTGATAGACCAGTCCAAAATGGTGGATCAGTAAAATGAGTGAATCACTTTGCGGGTAGGGTACCCGCCAGACTTGAATCGTACCAACGCAGATCCATCCAAAAAGATGGACCATACGTCAAGTGTTATGGCCTAACCTATGGGGTCCGGATTCTAATTTGAGGATCAGTTCTCCATAATTTATTTTTATTACTTACTTCCTCCATCTAACAATTACTTTTATGTTTTGCGTCATAATGTCTGATTGAAGTTATTTTCAAATCATTTGATATGAAAAATTGTGTGACACTAAAAAATAAAATTTACATATTCAAAAATTACATCAAAAGATCTACAAAAATAGAGGTGACATGATTATATTATTTTATCAAATGAATAACGAAAATAGACTAATAATGAACGAGAAGATAACTCATAGAAATAGTAAACGAGAAGATAATTCAATGAAAAATAAATGTTCCTGAATGTTTATAATAATTTAGAAAAATATTATGTACATTATTTATTTTTAATATACTCCAGTATTTTATTTGTATGTTATCATCAATTATTTGATAGAATAAAATATTTTTTAATTCTTGTTTTAGAGAATTTTGACGTAGTTTAAATTATATATTATTTAATTTCTATTTCCATATCAATCTTTAAATAAAATAAATTAAAAAAAACTTAAGAAAGATCATTTTTTGACAATTTTTTTCGAATTTAATGAAGTGTAAAAAATTGAGGGAGACTAATTTTCGTGCTTGAAAATTTTGATTTTCTTAGATTATCTTTTCTTCATCTTCTTCTTCTTCCAAGTTCCAAGCTGATCCTCCCACACCAAAATTTGCAGCATGATTTCCGAGGTAATAAAATCAGTACCCGTTTGTGTTCTAGTGGATCGACATGTCTACATATACATATGTCTGTTTTTACAGACAAAACAAAAAGTAAATGTTTTGTGTGTGTGTGTGTGTGTGTGTGGTTGAAATGAGTTTGGGCGACAGGAGCGAGAGGTGGCGGTGGTGTCTGCGGCAGAGGATGAGCGGCGGAGGGCGGAGGACGGCGGCGGCGACCCGGACCGCTACTCGGTGGACGAAGCACTGTCCTGGGCCGGGTTCGGGAGGTACCAGTATTGGGTGCTGGGTTACGCTGGGCTGGGCTACCTGGTGGACGCAATGGAAGTGATGATTCTTTCGTTTATTGGGCCGAGCGTTAAGTCCATTTGGGGGCTCTCTGATTCGGAGGAAGGCTTAATCACCACCGTTGTTTTCACCGGCATGCTCGTCGGAGCTTATTCTTGGGGCCTCTTCTCCGATCATTTTGGAAGAAGGCATGCTACCCCCCACCCCCACCACCACTTTCCTATTTTTTATTTTGGGTCACTTGCTTTTCTAAATCGATAAACTTTGATAATTAATTAAATAAATTTTATATTATATATTTTAATACAAGGATAATTTTATTGGATTTATCTTGTAAAATACTTTCAAAAAATATTATTTTATCTAGTTAATATACCAAGCAATTTTTATTTAAATAGTGGTCAATGGTCAATCACATTTGGCTGCAAAAAGTCAAAAGTGGACAAGTACTTAAATGAAAGGAGCCCAACCCAGCCTAATATTTTTATACCAAAAAATTATAAGACTTATAATGCCATAAAATACTATGAAACAACAACATAATAAATGCCTAATTGCGGATGTTTTCTAACGCTCCTATTTAGAAGATAAAGATATAGGAGATGATCTTATTTTGGCATTTCATATATGAATATGCAGACAAGATTAATGTAGTAGTGTTGAAGCTTAAGTCATGGTACATGATGACATTTTCTTGCTCATCCAGGAAGGCAATGGCGAGTGTAGCCACGGTGACCGCCATTTCATCAATCGCGAGCGCATTTTCCCCAACTTATACAACCTTGCTCATGCTGCGCGCTTTGGTTGGTTCCGGCCTCGGGGGTGCATCTGTTTACTTTTGTTGGTTTCTAGAATTTGTGCCCCCACGAAACCGGGGCGCGTGGATGGTTTTCTTCTCAGCGTTCTGGACACTTGGGGGAATTCTCGAAGCTGTTTTGGCATGGGTATGTGTCAAGAAACCAACTCAACCAAAAGCTCAAGCTTGTGGTTGTGGCCCAGGAAGAGTTATTTATATTCTAACACGCCCCCTCACGTGCAGGCGTAGTCTTTTTCGAGCCTTGCACGTGAAACTTTAATTTTCTTAAAATTGGGTGGCGCTGAGTTTCGAACCCGTGACCTCTTAGTCAACAAGGCTCTGATACCATGTCAAAGAAACCAACTCAACCAAAAGCTCAAGCTTGTGGTTGTGGCCCAGGAAGAGTTATTTATATTCTAACAGTATGCATCCAAGAATCCATGTTCCGGACTCTACTAATACTTTGTTGCAGATGGTTATGCCAAGATTGGGTTGGAGGTGGTTGCTTGTGGTGTCATCAATGCCATCCATTGCAGCAGTTGCATTCTTTGGGCTAATAGTAGAGTCCCCAAGGTACTTATGCTCCAAGGGAAGGGTAAAAGAGGCACACATTGTCTTACAAAGCATAGCTGCAACCAACAAAACTAAACTCCCCACCGGGGTGCTCGGCTGCCACCAGAAAACCACTACTGCTGGTGTCACCGACACGCTGCTGCCTGACAACCTCGGTGTTGCTGCTGCTGTCAACCGGAGGGGCAGGTTTTCTTCTGCATTTGCAATTTTATCACCCAAACTTATGGGGACTACCTTTCTCATATGGACACTCTATTTTGGGAATGCATTCTTGTACTATGGGGTTATACTAATGACCTCACAGCTTAGCAGTGGCCAAACCAAATGCCTCTCTACACCAGCCTTGAATGGTGACTCTGATAATAACCTATACAGAGATGTCCTTTTCACCAGTCTAGCAGGTGAGTTTCATCCACTCCTTTTCTCAGAGTTTTCATAATATTGAAGTATTAATTATTGATATTTTAAATTTACTGATATTCGTAATAGTTAGGACGATATTTTCTTGTTCATCGATCTACTGTGAGAAGCGATGGCAAGGGTTTTATTGAGTGCCAGTATTTAAAAATAACATAGCCAAGCGGCTTAAGGCCATGTTCTCTTCACCTGATCTGATTGGAATAAGTTCTGATCTGGTCTGATCTGAATGTAGTCATATTTAAACTTATTTCTGATCTGATTCCAATAAGATTAGATAATAAGTAAAAAAATAAGGTGAGGAGAACATGGCCTAAGCGTGTAAGTACAATAACAACAACCCAGTTGAATCCCACTAAAGTAAGGTCAAAAGTGTAAAAACGTATTTTTCTTAAAAAGAAGTAAAAAGGGTGTTCCGAAAAAGGAAATAAGATAATTTTGAAGCATCCTAAAGGTGATTGATGTCATATATGAATTGTGATGATTGATGTGCAGAGGTTCCTGGACTTGTTTTAGCAGCAACCCTTGTGGACAAAGTTGGTAGGAAATTCTCTTTGGTGTTTATGTTTGCATTGGGCTTCCTCTTTCTATTACCACTTGCTTTACACCAAAGGGAGACTTTGACAACCCTCTTGTTATCCGGGGCCCGCATGTGTTTCATTGGAACGTTCACAATCACTAGTATATATTGTCCCGAGGTAAAAAAAAACGCGAAGTCTTTGTTTGTCATTTCTAGGGGTTATGGTTTTTGGCCCAAAAAAGTGTTTGTTTCTTGCGCAGATATATCCAACCACGGTGAGGATAACTGGGGCTGGAGTTGCCAATTCTGTAGGACGAATCGGAGGGATGATATGCCCTATTGTTGTCGTTCAACTTGTCAACGGCTGTGAAATAATGTCTGCAATACTTTTGTTTGAGGTTGTATTGGTCGTTTCGGGGCTAAGTGTTTTGCTTTTCCCTGTCGAAACAAAAGGTCATGGGCTTGCCGATACATTGGATTCATGAAAGCAAATATTGATTTCGTGGCAGGAAACTATTAGGAAGGTGATTGTTGCTAGTCACATATTAGTGATTTTCATGTTCTGTTTAAGTGTGTACATCATTTGAATCTCTGTGAAGTGCAACCATAATAAATTTGGTTAACCATGTAGAATTAGAACATTTGAACTTTAGTAAGATAGAACCAACCATTGTAAACATTTGAACTTTATCAAATTCTGTCATATAGTATTTCATTAAAAGCATGATTTGTTCGTACTTTTATTAAAAGTTATTTCTAGTCTGTTCTGATTCCAGTAAGAATGAATAAGAAGTAAAAGTAATAAAAATAAGTTGAAGAGAACAAACTCGAACTGGTTTCCTTTAAAGCTGCTAATGCCTGTCCACAGTCAAGAGTTGTAAGTTGCAAGTTACATGGTAAGTTCTAAGGGCAAGACTCAGATGAAGACAAAAAAAACACTAGGCAACAAAAAGAAGAGCACAGTTTTGGAACGACGGAGTCGTTTGGATTTGTCACCAATTAGACAATAATGGCAACGGGTACGGGAAGAAAACCCATCAGTTGATCTTAGGCTTTGGTCTTCTTGGCCTCAACACAAACCATAGAATGAAGAGGACAACCAAAAAGGCAGGTATCGTTGTCATGTCAAACTCAACTTCAACTTTCCGGTGCCTTGTGCAGTGAATCGGATATAAGCTGGCTAGTGTCGCGTTTGTATACTCCACAAACCTGTCAAAAGAGTGGTTTATTTATCAAACTCAGATCGTATGCCAATGCAATATAAACTGTGATATACCTGAGTTAACCAAACATTTACTCTGGTTATTCTCGTGTCTAAGACTAACAATCTAGGCAAATCGATGAAATTATTCCTCCTTTACGATATCCCCTAACCAAAGAGGCCCTATGCCCTGACCAAAATTTGGCAAAACACTGAAAGAAGTATTGGGTACTGGCATTACAACGACAACAGACCAAGTTTAATCTCATCTCCATTGCTCTTTTTTCTTGTGGTGGTGGGGGGGGGGGGTCAAGATGTATTCAACCTTACCCCTGTAAACACTAAACAGAGAGGCTGTTTCCGTTAAACACTAGATGCATTAACTGCACAAAACCTCATAAAAAGTAAGAAGCAAATGATGTTAAATATGGGATACTGGTATTCTTTTTCTTTCTTTCTTTAGAGGAAGGGTATTGGCATTCTTAAAAACATAGAAATGTTACCAATGGACAATATAAGAAATGAGAGTTGCTAACCCTTTTGATGCATCTTCTACGGTGTGCAGAAGTGCCAATGCATCTGAATAGCGAAGTTCTCCTGAAATAGTTGAAATCTGAAAAAGGGACACCCATTAAACACAAGCTTATGGTCACAGAATATCAAAGGGTATGAAAAATGACAATATTATCCAAGGAATATGGAATTTCACCCAATAGTTTTTTTCTCACGTAATAAACAGACACCATGTATCCTCATGTGAAACAATGACCTATATGATTTAGTGGATGATGTGATGGACTTCCGTCTTCTTTGCATTTAATTTGTAAATTCTAAATTGTAAAATCTTCAGCTTTTTTTTGCACCATATATATATGTTCATATTCACAAGGGATAAGGGAATGGGAGTATAGAAAACATAAGAGTCAAATTCTACGTTGCAGAAAGGAATGCCAAGATCGTGCATTGCTTACCCTTCTCCATAAGCTGACAACATAATTATATTTGTTCAATAGCTCACGCTCTTGAGATTGAAATATCTTGAAAGTCCGTTCTGCTGTTTCATGTTAAGCATAACACAGATAGGTGTCACTTCAAGAGGAAAAAAAAGAATGCAAACACGTCCTGGGATAAAAAAACACTTCAGATAAAATTATGCTTTGGACTCTGGACCTACGCAATATGTTGCATAAGCGTCAATTATTCAAGATGGCATAGTCCCAAATACAGTTATCATCACATATTCACAGACAAGAAATGTCTAAACTATTTGCCATGGTATTTCGGTCAAGTCTACAAGTGGTCTATTATCCATTTCAAATCACTGGCGTACTTTCAGTTCAAAACATGTCAAACGAGCAGTTCTATGAGTTCTATTTCCTAATAAAACATTAAGGGTACATTTGTGTTAGAGTACATCCCACATCGAAAAATCCAAGAGAAAATAATCGGTATATAAGCTCTAGAGTTGAACTAACTAATCGATTGGATTCAATCTTTTAACACGGTTCAGCCCAAGTGTCTTATTACCCAATCCAGTAATCCATACTCCATCCTAAATTCTATCATGGTATCAGAGCTAGTTTTAGCCCACCTCGTTTGTCAAGGTGTCCGTCTAGACGTTCATTCCTAGCGGCCCGTTTGTCTTTAGCCCAGTTGTCCGTATGGAGTATGTACCCAACGGCCTGTGGCCTGTTTGACCCGATTGCACGTCTGGAAGTCCATACCCAGCGGCTCGTGGTCCTTTAGGTGTTGGCGCTCAAAAAAAAAGTCAAGGGAATGGGAGTTCATTTGCAAGTGGTCAACCGGTTAGATTCAAAATGGCCCGGTTGTCCACTTGAGGGGGAGTGTTAGAGTACATCCCACATCGGAAAATCCAAGAGAAAATAATCGGTATATAAGCTCTAGAGTTGAACTAACTAATCGATTGGATTCAATCTTTTAACACGGTTCAGCCCAAGTGTCTTATTACCCAATCCAGTAATCCATACTCCATCCTAAATTCTATCAATTTGAAACACGGAAAAGGTTGGGAAAAGGGGAAAATGCTAGGGAGATGAGTTTTATAATGTTTAACATGGAGTAACACTTATTTAGAACTTGTTATAATTATACATACATTTATATTTCTGTCATTATGCAATAAAAATATATAAACAAAAAGAGTTTGAACGAATATCGAACATTGAACTATTGAGTTTGAGCCTTTTTTTAATATTCCACGCATTTTATTTTCTCACAAAAATTTCCTCTATTTTGTTTCCCTACCAATTTCCAGGTTCCAAAATTGAAAGGAACCTTGGGAGGGAGGGGGTGGGGGGTTGTGTTGCAGAATTTCAGTCCGGTATAGATAATAACAATAAAAATGTGTTGAAGTTATAGGCTAAAGAATACATGTCTTCTCCATGACGAGGCGATGAATAGCTGAGTTGACAAGTAGAATTGATTCCTCAAGAGTTGTGAGTATATAACTTCGAGCAATCGTGTCAGAGAGAAATCTTGAGATTTGCCAGCCTGAAGATATTACAGACAATGGATTGCAGCCCACTGACCATATCCAATCCTGTTATAAAAATAAAAGATGTTAAAAACAATGGAAGAAATAATTTAATAGGAAGAACAATGATAGGTTCACAAATAACACAAAATTCACAAAATAAAATGCCACAACAACAAGCTACCTAGTGGTGCCTGCACATTGGGGTCGGGGGGGGGGG